GTGCCGTGAAGTTGTTTTGCCCATATTGGATCCATTTGGGTTCTCAAAATCAGGGACCCCATGCAGGTGTTTGGTTTCCTTTTGCTTTCCATTTAAAACCATCCAACAAAAGGGGTCCCCTATCATATCTCAAGTGAGCGGCGGCCAAAGCGCCCAAAAGGGCCATTTTAGTATAGGTTCTACTACCTGCCTGGCACCCCGTATGGCCATTTTGTTCGGTCAAAGGCGTATGACCTAAACAAAAAAACGGCCATAGGGGGCCCAGGTGGCTGTTTTGGTGTAGAATAAGGCTTTTCAGAGCATATCCAAACCTTTCCAGTGCTTCCAGGTATTCGTTCCGTCACCTTTTGCTGGTTACCCGAATCGGCTGTCTTACCTTTAGCTTGTACTATGGACGGTGCTGGGCCAGCCTACGGTGGCGGAACGCCTCAAAGGACTGGGCTTCAGAACCCCATTTTAGCTTCCATTTGCGAAAAAAAATGGTTGTACCCCCTAATCTAAATACCCACTTTTTTTAGTTGGTATGTTTTTGCAAGACCTGGTAGAGGGACGACATCATACCCTTAAAAAAAGCGGGTATTTGGAGTAGGGGGTATTTTCCCTTGTTGGTTTCAAAGGGAATCGACTTTTTATGGCTTGGTCAAGGTAGACTTACCTAAATTATGGTTGGTCTACTATTGGTGGCATCCTATTCGTTTGCTCTAGGGAAACCAAGAAGAAAACGACCCATGTGCTTCCATTTGCTGAAAAGAATATGTTTTGTTCCTCCCTGTTGGTTTTAAGGTCAGTGGATTTCCATGGGATCCTTTTTGTGGTTGGTTCTGGGTCAGCCATTTGAATACTGATCGGTTTCGATTGTGACACGCCGACACGGGTCTTGGCCAAGAGCGATGACAGGAGATGCGACGCAGACGCGGGACCCGTTTCGCGGGCGTCCGGCTCGCTTTTTTTTTGTTTGGGAGCCGAGTCGACGTTGAGGGCTTAGGGTTTAGGGCTTAGGGTGAGCCAGGGTCCGTTTTGTGATGGGACGGGGCAATGGCTGCCAAAGAACTTGAGGAATCGATCCTGGCTGAATCGACCCCCACCTTGGGTTCCTTCTCAATGTTAGGGGAGTGTGTTTTTTCTTTGGTTCAGGAAGCACGAGGGACCAAAATTGTCTTTGTTCCCCACACTACCATACACCCCAGCAGGAAGCCAAATTGGCCTAACAGGGTCACACGTTGCAGTTTTCCAACTCACACGGTTTGGGGGAATGGAGTGCGCAGCAATTCCCCACTACCTGGAGTCTCCATGACCCTTAAAAAATGGGGTCATTACCCAAAATAATGGGGTCATGGACCCATTTTTAAAGGGTCATGGAGACTCCAGGTAAGGCCGCATTAAGGCCGTCTTTTGGGTGAAGAAGCTTCCAATTTGGGGCCCTTGGGTGTCCGCTTCCCCTTGTGGGCTTTCGATGGATGTCGAGTGATTTCCATCGGCAGGGTGGGGCTTTTTGGGGCTCATGCTATCGCCGAGCGCGCAAAAGTTGTCTTTCCATGTGGGTACACACCAAAGGAGCCTCGTTTTTATGTCCAACTCGAACATGTTCTTTTTCAGCCAGTGCTTGCAACCCAAAATTCTGGTGGGTGAAATCCAACTTCTTTTATGGGTAGTTCGAGGGTCGAGGCATGGCTCAAAAGGGAAAAGTGATGATCCGCCTTTGGTCAGGTCAGGTTGCAATCGAATTGGATTGGCTGTGAACCCCAAGGCATCGCGGTTATGCCGATCTCGCCTTGGCTTCAAGCTGTCAAACCGCTGGTAGGGCACTCAAAGAAACTTCCCCAAAATTAGCTCCTTTTGGTTTTTTGGCTTTTTTGGGGTCCCTTTGTTTTCCACTACCCAGGCAAACGAGATATATACATCTATTTTGCTGGGGTCCGAATTCCGGCCTAGCAAAAAGGCGCGCCTCCAGCGCCCGGCAGACGGATTTTTGCTTCTTGCGGTCGCATAGTGGACCCCAAAGGGTTGGAAACTGTTCAAAAGGGTATCCGCCAGTTTGCGTGCTTTTCTCTGGGGTAGACCTACTTACCTCTTAAAAACACCACTTTTCAAAACTTTTTGGGTAACATGGGCTATATGTCTGTAAAAGATTAACTTCCCCAAGGCTTGGAGTTTTAAGGGGTAGACCTAGGATACATTTTACCTTTTACCAGTGACTCAAAGTGAGGCAAACAATAAAATATACATGGTGTAAGTTGTTTGTGCTGGGAAGCTTGAACATGGTTGTTGTTGGGAAGCATTGTTTTTGTTTTAAACATTTTTGCTGATTGTGGTTTAGTGGTTGAAATCCAACCACTTAACTGCTACAAAAAAAATGTTGCTCCCCTTTCAACGTCAACCAAGAGTTTGCATGCTTTTATCTCTGTTTGTGCTGGGAAGCGTGAATGTTTCTAGAAAAGCGTTCCCTATGCCATGAAGGTGGATGTTCACTTGGCCAGTGGAGATGGTTACTCCATAGAGGTCTCACCAGCATTGCCCGTCAGTGAGCTGAAGGCTGCAGCGCAGAAGCATTTCCAGCGCCGCCTGACGCTCATTGCGAAAGGCCGGCAGCTCGATTTGACGGCCACGCTGAGTGAGGCTGGCTTGCAAGATGGGGATGCAGTGGATGCGTTTGTGCAGCTAGGCAAACTGGCTGCCACCTGTAAGGCGTTTGCTTGGCATGCTGACGGGGACGAGGTTGTGACCTGGGGTGATCCAGAAGATGGTGGAGACAGCAGCCAGGTGCAAGAGCGGCTGAGGAACGTCCGGCACATCCAAGCAACTTACAGTGCTTTTGCTGCCATTCTTGAATCTGGGGCTGTTGTGACCTGGGGTGGTTCAGGTTCTGGCGGAGACAGCAGTCCGGTGCAAGAGCAGCTCAGGAACGTCCAGAGCATCCAAGCAAATGCCGATGCTTTTGCTGCTATTCTCGAATCTGGGGCTGTTGTGACCTGGGGTGATCCAGGTTCTGGCGGAGACAGCAGTCCTGTGCAAGAGCAGCTCAGGAACGTCCAGAGCATCCAAGCAACTGCCGAAGCTTTTGCTGCTATTCTTCAATCTGGGGATGTTGTGACCTGGGGTGATCCAGGAAGTGGTGGAGACAGCAGCCAGGTGCAAGAGCAGCTGAGGAACGTCCAGCAGATCCAAGCAACTGCAGACGGTACTTTTGCTGCGATTCTTGAATCTGGGGCTGTCGTGACCTGGGGTCATCCACACTATGGTGGAGACAGCAGCCAGGTGCAAGAGCTGCTGAGGAACGTCCAGTACATCCAAGCAACTTGCCGTGCTTTCGCTGCCATTCTTAAATCTAGGGCTGTTGTGACCTGGGGAGATCCAGGACGTGGTGGAGACAGCAGCCAGGTGCAAGAGCAGCTGCGGAACGTCCAGCACATCCAAGCAACTGGTGGTGCTTTCGCTGCCATTCTTGAATCTGGGGCAGTTGTGACCTGGGGTCATTCATACTATGGTGGAGACAGCAGCCAGGTGCAAGAGAAGCTAAGGAACGTCCAGCACATCCAAGCAACCGAATTTGCTTTTGCTGCCATTCTTGAATCTGGGGCTGTTGTGACCTGGGGCAATCCAAGGGCTGGCGGAGACAGCAGCCAGGTGCAAGAGGCGCTGAGGGTCCACAACATCCAAGCATCTCCAAACGATGCTTTTGCTGCCATTCTCGAATCTGGGGATGTTGTGACTTGGTGTTGGGGTGATTCGGAACAAGATGGAGACAGCAGCCAGGTTCAAGAGCAGCTGAGGAACGTCCAGCACATCCAAGCAACTGCAAACGGTGCTTTTGCTGCCATTCTTGCATCTGGGGCTGTTGTGACCTGGGGTGATCCAGGTTCTGGCGGAGACAGCAGTCCGGTGCAAGAGCAGCTCAGGAATGTCCAGAGCATCCAAGCAACTGCCGAAGCTGCTGCTGCCATTCTTTAATCTGGGGCACCAAAAGCGTGCGAAAATGGAAGCAACTGATCTAAGTGGAAGGAGGCTTACCTCTCAAAAACAACACTTTTCAAAACTTTTTGGGTAACATGGGCTATATGTCTGTAAAAGATGAGAACTTCCCCAGGGCTTAGGGGTAAGGAGGCGTGCAACTGATCTAAGAGTGGCGGGGAGCTGCCGGTTTGGAGACTTCCAGCGACCCCTCCGTCTGTCCAGCGGCGGCATTTTTTTGGGGGGGCTCGGACTGCCCGACTTGTTTTGGAGTCACCCTCATGTGTCGACACGTGTCCTTTTAGGATTCGGACCCCCAAAATGGATGGGCGTTTTTTTTTTTGAGTGCCACAAAAAAGAGGGGTATTGACTTAAACAAAACACACCAATTAAGTTTCATACCTGAATCAGGAAAAAATAGAAAGAAAAGAAAACAAGTCTCGCCTGCGCTTGGCCTACCCTCGCTTTTAAGGCCGTTTTGTCACTGCAGCCGTTTAGTACTGACGCGCCGAATTCCCTTGTGATCCTGTCTAAGTTAAAAGTAGCTCGCAATCCCATCCTAATTTCGGCCTGTCTTTTTCCGAGGGTGCCCTTTTCGGGTGGGTTTGGTTGAGAGGCCACCAAAAGGAAGCGTCCAATTCCCTCGGGACTAATCCGTGTCGGGTGTCTGGTTTCCGAAGGGGTCTTGGTGGCTCCCCTCAGCTTTTCTGACTTTTAGTTAGTCTACCCGCGACTCCAAATACCCTCTTTTTCTGGGGTATCATGTGGACCCTCTACTAAAAAAGTAGGTATTTACCGTGGAAAACCCGGTTATTCAACAAATCCCCTAGAAAAAGCGGGTATTTGGAGTAGGGGGTAGTGGTTTTCCATTTCACCCACAGTTTTCAAACTCGGTGATGGTGGGTGAAATGCTTCCCCTTGTTTCTGGCCCAGAGGCTCCCGATGCATGGGCCCAAAGCCAGGAGCCTCTAAGTACTCCTGGCACCCCGTAGGGCTTTTTTTTTCCGGTCAAACTCCCGTACTTGGCCGTGTTTGCCCGTATGGCCATGACTTTTCCGGTGATTTGCGTAAATCACCCACATGAAACCCATATTGTTTCGACATGTGGTTGAACAAACGCCGTAAACAATCCCGAATGGCCGAATTTTTTTTTTCGGTCAAAGGCGTACCAAAAAAAAACGGCCATATGGGATCGGTCCCAGGCTGGACATACCCCGGTAACCTCCAAGTACCCGGCTTTGGGCATGATGTCCCGCGAAAAAAGGGATCGAGTCGGCATCCATGGAAACCCGAAACGGCTTTTCCGAAAAATAAACACCTACCTGGAAAGCCGTATGGCCATTTATTTTTGGACGGAACCCATATTTGGATCGTTTTTCCCGTATGGTCATTTTTTGCTAACCGGTGGCCGTATTTGGCCGTATGCAACCCGTATTTTTTCAACAAATTAGTGGACAAAAAGCCGTAAATGACCGTATGGTCTCTTTTTTTTGGCTCAAGGCGTATGGAAAGAAAAGAAAAAACAAAACAAAAAAGACGGGTGATATATCTGGGTTTCCAGGTACCTGGAGTCTCCATGACCCTTTAAAATGGTTGGGCATTACCCCAAATAATGGTTGGTCATGGACCCATTTTTATTTCGGGTCAGAAGGAGACTCCAGGTAGGAAAAAGGTTGAAGGTTGGTTGAGTTCTTTCGGGCGCAGGACGCCTCGGTGCCTTCCGCGGGCCTGGTGGAGGCAAGGAGGTACCGAAGAGCGAGTAACCTCGATCCAAATACCCGGGCTTTGGGTATGATTGGTCGACCCACTAAAAAAGGAGGATTTACCCGTGGAAAACCGGGGAAGAAAAAAAAAGCTAGAAAGAGTGGGTATTTGGAGTAGGGGGATGGTTCAAAACCGTTTTGGGATCCCATTTTGGGAGAGCTGCACCCATTTTCGAGCCGGGATTTTCGTGGTTGGATTGGTTGATGTTGGGGGTAATTTGGGTTTGGTCCCACGCCCATCTAACGATTGGAATCCTTCCCAGCCAATCCTCCGGTTCCAGAAAGGTCTTGACTTGTACTTGTTTTCAGGTGGTTGAGTGGTAAAAATCAATTTCGCCCTCAAGTGAACAACTTTTAGCAGGAATAAAAAAAACGGCAGCGCGGGGGAAAAAGAAAAAACACGGTCTCTTAAGTGAGAGGGAAACGGTTTGTAGATAATTGAAAAGTTCAGACCTATTGAAACCGGTCGAAGCTCCATCTGGATAACCAGGTTATTCAAACAATACCCTGAAAAAAGCGGGTATTTGGAGGTTACGGGGGATATCAAGAGCACAGAAGCGACTCCTAAGCCTCACGTCCGGCGTCTTTCGCGAGCCAGCGAACAGCGAAAGCGCGGAACCAGAAAATTCGGACCTAGAGGTTTGGGCGGAAATCAACATGGAGTCTCCCTAAGGACGAAATGAAAAGTCCATGACCAAGCATTATTTTGAGTAATGACCAACATGTTTTAAGGGTCCTTAGGGAGACTCCAGGCACCTTAAAGAAGGAGGCAAAGGCTCTCTTTGCCACACAAGGTAGGCGTGCCTCCCACCATTTTAGTCTTTGGGTCCCCTAAAAACAGGAGCTGTGGCATGTGGGTTTTCCAAAAGTGAAATATATCCAATGATACTTGCATGTCAACTCGCCTACATCATCTGGCTAGCCTATTTCAACACCGCGGTACTCTTGAAAGATCGGCCAAAACTGATTGGTGGCTCCCAGCCATCCCCTTGGCTTTTTAGTTGGTGCAGTGGTTGGAATTCCGAATTCAACCCACAAGCTAGTCACTTTTAGCAGAAGATCTGAGAACGAACAGCCCGGAGTGCTTTGGCTGAGGTGGTTTTGAGATCTCATTTCCCCTCGTTCTTGTTGCCAAGGAAAGACATGTCCCCTGCTTCAGATGCCGCCCGTTATGTTTGTTTTCTTCTTCTTTTTTTGAGGGCATGTGTTCGAACACCGGTGTTTCTTTGCTAAACACATTTTTTAGTTGGTATCATATAACTTCTACTCACTTGCCTACAGCTAATCGATCTTTTGACCTTTTGGTTCTCTGCTTTTGGCCCAAAAAGTGCTCGCATTGTATTTCTGGGTCGCTTGGGCAACTGGGTATACAGTCTGGAGTAGGGGGCGGCAAGTCTACCCTGAGGTCATAGCCCAGCCGACTATTCATTGTTTGTGGCAGCCTCTCTCATGTTGGTGGTCAAGGAAGCAAGCTCGGAGGTGTTTGCTTTGTGCTTGGGCGAGTCCACTCACTCAAGAAGTGAGCCCAAGAACGCCAGCCTCTCTCATGTTGGTAATCAAAGAGGCAAGTTCGCAGGTTTTTGCTTGGGGCGATCCAAACAATGACCATGCGGGAAAAGCGATCCAAACACGGGTTCCGTCCGAAAAAATATATAAAAATGGCCATACGGCTTTGCAGGTAGACATATCTGGGTGAATTATCATATTTCACCAACCTGAAATATGGTGGTTGGGGGGCTACTCCCCACATAAATCACCATTTGGGGTGAATTCGGTGGTCAAGGAAGTCGATTCGTCCACTCGATCGGTGAGGTTAGAGCCCCAGCTTCGCTTCGCGTCTGACGCGTTCGTTTCCCCGCTCGTCAGGTGCCGGGCGTCGGCTCCATGCCCACGGCCCCAGAAAAAACTTTGACGTGGCTTTGGTGGCAAAACAAAAAACCAGGGCCAGAGAGTCGAGTCTCAGACCCGTGGGCCAAGCACTGCAGAAACCAGAACATGAGGGTCAGATGTAAACATATATATATATATACCGACACATACCGATTGTATTGCAGTTTAAGATTCACTAAACTTCACTGTTGGCATTTGTTTAGGTGTTTTGTTGTTTGGTTCTGTTCAGTTTTAGTAAGGGGCTGCAAAAGCAGCATGTTTTCTGCTGGGCTTTCTTCCCATCACTGGTCCCAGAAATGGGAGGTTGTCCCCACCATGGCAGCAATGAAGCGTTTTCCTCCCCCCTCCAAATCAAGAAGACAAGGTCCGGAGAAAAGCAGTAGACACGTTTGTGCTTGGGACACATTTCACATTTTTGCTTATTGTGGTTTAGTGGTTGAAATGCAACCACTTAACTGCTATGTTTTCAATTTTTGTTCCCCTTCCAACATCAACCAAGTAGAACCGGAGAGTAAGACTAGGTCCCCCAGTGCCCTTCTACCCCCTTTTGGGGCGGGTTCCCCTACTAAAACAGACTACAGCAAAAAGTTGGTACCCTTATTCTAACCTCTCAACTGGAGGACCTAGTGGTGGTTCAACAGCGAATCCTCCGGTTTTAACCTTTCTATGGTTTAATCTCCCTGTCTATTTCATATGGGGGTGTTCCCCTCCAAAAGTGATGAATCCCCACTAGAAGTGGTCTTGGAGAAGCGTTTTGCTCTGTCCTCCAGACCTTTTGAGGTGAGCCATGGCCTGCAATTCCGAGCGGGTCAGGGACAATTTTCTTGCCCGGTGGGAAAATATGGGAAGGAAGCCTATGGAAACCCATGGCAAAAACCCATGGCGGAGCCAAGACGGACACCCAGTGGGAAACCAGTGGGAAACCAGAGGAAATCATGGGAAACCAGCAACAACCCATGGCAAAACCAAGACAGACACCCAGTGGGACCGGAAAACAGCAGTGCTGTAGTGGAAACCCATCTTTCAGGCGCAGACTCCACCTGTTTTCGACGGGTGAGCCACAATCAAAACCTTCTTAATCCTGTACATGGTTCTGGGTAGACCATTTTAGTACCAGGTTTTGATTGCGACTCAGGTGGGAATACCTAGTGTTGATTCCGACGAGTATCTGAGGACATTTTTTTCGGGAGAAAAGCGCCTCTTCTTCCGCAGGGCTGGGATCTTCTTCCGCGCCACATGTTCGAAAACGAAAACTGGGGCTACGTGAGAGCTCCAACCTAACCGCCGGAGAACAGGCCCATGAACAAAACAAGACCCTCTGGCGCCAGGGTCTACTTGGACATGCGGACAAGCCCACGGTGTTGGGACCCGTTGTTTTTTTTTTTTTTTTGAGTTTTGCATGGCGCGCGAGCGTCTTTTGGAAGAAAGCGCGTGGCCTCCCCAACCCAAACGAGGGGTGTCCTTCTCGTCCGATCCCCAGCCAGGTGCCCTTCTCTCCCAACCCTTTTTTGGGGGGGGAGGGTTCTTCGTGTCTAAAATGGACAGAAAACCGGAAAATTAGGTGGCTGTGGTTGTCCAAACCGTTTTGGGATCCCATTTGGGGTAGGTGAATTCACCACTCATTTTAGTCTATAGTGGGGGTTGGGGTTTTCACTGGGGGCACGATTTGGGTTTTGACCCATGGCCAGGTGACCTGGAGAATCGATGGAGTTGGCTCACTCCCCGAGTTCCTGGACGTTCAACTTGTTGGGTTTGGACCATTTTCTAGGTCCCCCCCAGTAGTGCCCACTAGTACCGGTCTTGGTTGGGAGGGTTCCCCTACTAAAATAGACAGACAAAAGTTGGTACCAACTTGTTCTAACCTCCAAAACTGGAGGACTTAGATTTTGGTGGTAAACAAGAACTCGGGAAGTGATCTATACTATTGGAATCCGTCTACTTCTAACCAAACTAACCCAAACGGGCACCTATGGAGTCGTCGCCCAATTCTTATTTTGGGTATCTTCTCTGTTGTTGGCCTTTTTTCCCCCCCAACAGCTGAAAGCTTTGGGGTCTCAGCCCAGATAGGCTCCGGGGTGGTCCGGGGCGGCCCTGAGGTAAGGTTCCACCAGGGTTCCACGCTGTTGGGGATATCACCTGAGCTTATTCTTAAAACAAAAGGAACAACTAAGCTCAGGTGATATCCCCAACAGCATGCGGTGCTCTTTTTAGTGCTCGCACCACCCCGCAGCCGAACCCTCGTGAAATCCTGGTGGAACCCATCGTGGAACCCTCGTGGAACCTTACCCCAAGGCCGCCCCGGAGCACTCCGGAGCCTATCTGGGCTGAGACCCCAAAGCTTTCAGCTGTTGGGGAAAAAGAAGAAAAAAACAACAACAAAAAACATAAGGAACAAACATGGGTGTTTCGAGTATGCCCAGGCCAAACACAGCTTTTTGCTCCCCCAACGTTATTTTGTTTGGTTCTGTACTCATTTTTAGGGGCCCGCAACCAACAAAGAAGCAAAGCCGCGGCTCGAGGCAGCGGCAGCAGCTGGCAAATCTGGAGGCGAGATGGGAAGGACGCTAACCAAAGCCACCATTTGCTTAACCCTAGGAGCCCAAGACCCTAAATATGAGGGCCTTTAACCTCCAAAGGCCTCAAACAATGAGGTCTTGGGCTCGGGAAGAATGTTTGTTTGTTGAATGTGTTCCCCCTTTTTTTTTCCCCTGTTGGTTTTAAAGGGAATCGATTTCACTACTGGAAATATTTAGTTTTTTTTTTTTTTTTTTCCGGCTTAAGCAAATGGAAGACTGCTATTGGGTTGGATCTTTAGACCTTTTTTGGGGTGAGGGACACAGCTAAATCAGCCGTGGAAACAAAGACAAAGGCTCTAGCATCCATTTGTTTGCTGAAGACTTGTTTTTTGCCTCGCTGGTTTCAAAGGGAATCGATTTCACTACTGGATTTTTTCCAGGGGGCTCAAACGCAAATGGAAGAAAGCGAATCGACCTTGGTGTCCAGCGGTTTTTCTGGGCGGTCCCCAAAAGGTGGGTCCCTGTCCGCAACTGAGATACTCCCCTCGGAAGGAAGCGCCAGGGTTTTGATTGAAGATCCTTTCGGGGGAACCCGGCTTTTGGGATTCTTTCAGCCCACCGAGCACGCATCCGACGCAAAAAAGAGGACCACCAGCCTTGAAACGCAGCAAATCGATGCTTCTCTTGAAATCCCAGAATAAAGCATGTAAAGAGGACTGATTTGGAGACTGCTCAGCAGGCTTGTCTTGCATTTGTCGGATAATATGTGTTTCCCTTGTTGGTGTTAAAGGGAATCGATTTAATTACTGGAAATATGTTTATTTTCACATCACTTGGAAACAATGGTTGAAACCAGAACGTTTGTTGGTATTTACGTTGGGGACTCATCATTCTAGGGTTTCTTAGATGGTGCAGGAGTTCGTCCATGCACCGTATGTTTATTATTCAAGTTCGCGAGCTTGTTGAGTCTGCCCTGATTCTGGAGAGCTCACCGATTTGGGGTCTTTTGCGGCTCCAGGACGCAAAAACAAAGGCGCGCAAAGGCGGACTCTTCAATCAGGATGGTTGATGGTGTTGTTTGTTGTTTTGAGGGTCCACCACAAGGCAAAACTAGGCTGGGGGGGGGGAAAAGACACACTCGGTTGAACTGCAGTGCGTTGCCCAGAAGCACAGAATCCATCCTACTAGCGGGTGCATACGTTTTCCCTCCTACTTTTGTATGCACGTCTTTTGGGAGAAGCCCCTGTTTAGCGAGGAGCCCGGGCATTTGTCCCCCCACTCGTCTCATGGATCATACCTAGGTCCCTGCAGTAGTGCCCTTTTACCTTTTTTTGGGGGGAGTGTTCCCCTACTAAAATAGACTACAGAAAAAGAAGGGTACCCTGATTTTAGCCTCTCTACTGGAGGACCTAGATGAGATTGCAGGGTACTGTAAAACCAAACTAGGACATGATAGGATAGCACTGTGTGTGTGAGAGAAAGCACATTTTGCCGCTTCTGTTCCCCTTCTCATCATCGACCGGAAGAGTCAAATTGCTGGGAGTTATCAAATGCAGAAACTGGCCCTCCCTTTCACCTCCACTCAGGGCGTGAGTTTGAATCTGGGGGTTGATCAATATGGGTGTGGCAATCAACATTAAACACCTGACCGCAGGTTTAGTCTACTTTCTCATTTTCCAGGGCAACCCATGTTGGGTCCCATTTTGTTGAGCTACAGCCTCATCCAATGTAAAGGACCTTTTGATCCAGCTCCCCCCATACGAGAAAACTCTCTCCCAGGCTCTGCTGAATGGCGAAGACTTGGCAGGCTCGAGTCGGGCGATGTGTTTTTTTTCTTTGTGCCAAGTTCAGTTATACCTGGACCCTTACTAGGTCCCCCAGCAGTGCCCCTTTGACCAACTTTTTTTGGGGAGGGTTCCCCTACTAAAATAGACTACAGAAAAAAGTTGGTACCCTTATTCTAACTGGAGGACCTAGCTTAAAGTACCCATACAAAATGGGTGTGGCAATCAAAATTAAACGATCGGAGGGGCAAACCGCAGGTTTTGGTACCCATACCGCAGGTTTTGGTACCCATGTTTCCACTTACCCATCGGGCAACCCATTTTGGGGAATTCCGGTTTTTTGAGCAGCCAAATGGCGTCCACCACAGAATGTTTTGAGGGTATATCCCATGTAGATTTTTTTTTTAAGGCAGGCATGTTTTTTAAGAGGGCGCCAGCAGCCGGGTGTTTTTCTGCGCTGAGCTGCTTGTTTTTCCCTTTTTCTGGGGCTGTTGTAACATTGTAACTTCGGCGCAATTCAGAGCCTGAAAAGTGTACTGAAGGCTTGGAACAATTGAGCCACAATCAAGTCAGTAAAGGATAATCCCAACCAGAAATGGGTTCGGATATTCGCCTTTTTGATTCTTGGAGCATGGTTACTATCTGGTTGTGATTACGGCTCAAGTGAAGCCCAGAGTTTGATTCGTTCAAAGTCTTCCGTAGCGTTAGTCTTTGGGGTGAAACCCCCCAGTGCGAAGCACTGCAGGAAGATACCCTCTTGTCCACTAGCATTCAGAGAAATGGTCCGTTTTGAAGCAAACCAGGACTCCTCAGTCAGGTTCCGTTAGTGGACAGGGTATGTCTTTTGAGGGTACCCTTTTACGGTGAGTTTTAAAGGACCCCAAAAGGACGCGCTTGCCATTTTAGGGGTTCTCCTTTGACTCATTTAACACATGCCCAGTTGCGCCATAAACGAACGGGTCGCTGGCGAAGCCAAGCGGACAAGCATCATTTTTGACCCCCCATCGGTTTAAGACACACCCGTTTGTGCCGGGTGTTTCATCTATGGACGTCGATGCATTTCCATTTCCTGCATTTGGACGTGTCGTTTTTTTAGGTTTCGAATTCCTCAGAATTCATGGTGGTGTTATTCATTGTGGTGTCCTTTTAAAGCAACCAAAAAGGGGTACCCTCAAAAAAGGCCGCACCCAATGTTGCATCCTGCAATTGAAATGGGAGGAAGGGACAAAATGTACCCTCCCAAATGCAGCATTCAACATGTCGATCGGTCCTCACATAGGATTGCAGGTCACCTGCATCCAACCAACTCTTCTATCAACTCACCTCCCAACAGGACCTAAAAGTAAAAAGTTCACCTTAAAGGTTGGAAGGTCTGAGGGTATTTTTGCGACTTTACCACAAAACCTACCAGCGCCCCCAACATTATCTTTTGCCCATGTCCAAAATCCCAAGTACTGTCCCAAAAAGCAGTAGTTGGGACCCGGGTGCTGGTACTCACTTAAACTTCCCATCTTCCGGCGAACCCATGGCCGAGACAAACTTCCATTTGCTTAAGAAGATGTGTGTTTTTCTCCCCAGTTCGTTTGTAAGGGAATTGATCTGGATTGATCTGGATTTTTTCCCAGGGGGCAAAAAAGTAAATAAAAGTAAATGGTTAACCCCAGATTCAGCAACTGCTCGGATACGCGGAGTAGAATTGCTCCGCGCCGTTCCTGAAAGAGCACCAGTTTTTTCTGGGAGAAGCCCAGTTGTTTTCTTCCGGGATAGCCACACAATGAGATGGCTGTGGGTCAAAATCAATCCACCAGGAGACCGCAGGTTTTAGTCCATATTTCCATTTACCACGGTTCCATTTCGGGTACCGTTTTTTGACACACAGCCAGATGTGCGCTGAACAACACCTTCGGTTCAGCCATTACTTTTTGTTACAAGGATTCCCAGATGCCTACGATTAACAGGCCTTTGAGGTCCTGGATGATTTTAATCGCTGGACCCTCAAAATTCAAAATTTAAGATTTGGTAGCCTCAAAGATGCATGCTGAAAGAAGGGAACCGCATGTGCGCTTTTTGCAGTTGGATTGGGTTGCGTATGAACTTATGAAGGCTTACAGCAAGTTCCTTCTGTTCCTATATCTACATAGTAGGACCTACTTAGTAGGATCTTCTCGAGGCCTTTTCCTATGCCGCATGTTGCTTTTGTTTGCACACTTCATAAGATTGCTTCAGCAATCTGTCTCACAATGGGTTTGGAGGGGCCGATTTTGTTTTGGCAGCAATGGACATACCCGCTTGGATGACTACCCCACTCAGCAAGTAGTTTGATCCCCCGAATTGACATGCTTTGTCTCAGGTTTGTGTTTTGCAACTTGCATCTAGAAAGTCCATCCTGCGCCATGAAGGTGGATGTTCACTTGGCCAGTGGAGATGGTTACTCCATAGAGGTCTCACCAGCACTGCCCGTCAGTGAGCTGAAGGCTGCAGCGCAGAAGCATTTCCAGCGCCGCCTGACGCTCATTGCGAAAGGCCGGCAGCTCGATTTGACGGCCACGCTGAGTGAGGCTGGCTTGCGAGATGGGGATGTAGTGGATGCGGTTGTGCAGCTTGGCAAACTGGCTGCCACAGAACAGGCTTTCGCTTGGCATGGCTACGGGGGCGAGGTCGTGACCTGGGCTGATGCGAAGTCTGAGATTGACAGCAGGCAGGTGCCAGAGCAGCTGCAGCTGAGGAACATCCAGCACGTCCGAGCAACTGCCGGTGCTTTTGCTGCTATTCTCGAATCTGGGGATGTTGTGACCTGGGGTCAGGCAAGAAGCGGCGGAGACAGCAGCCAGGTGCAAGAGCAGCTGAGGAACGTCCGGCACATCCAAGCAACTGCCGGTGCCTTTGTTGCAATTCTTGAATCTGGGGATGTTGTGACCTGGGGTCATCCAGGATCTGGAGGAGACAACAGCCAGGCGCAAGAGCAGCTGAGGAAAGTCCAGCGCATCCAAGCAACATGCCGTTTTTTTGCTAACATTATTGACCTTGGGGACTGCAGAGGGTTAAAAGAGACGGTGAGCATCTGCGACGACATCCAAGCAACTCCATTCGGTGCTTTTGCTGCCATTCTTGAATCTGGGGCTGTTGTGACGTGGGGTGCTCCATTCTATGGCGGAGACAGCAGTTTGGTGCAAAAGCAGCTGAGGAACGTCCAGCACATCCAAGCAACTGCACTCGGTGCTTTTGCTGCCATTCTTGAATCTGGGGTTGTCGTGACCTGGGGTGATCCAAGGCATGGCGGAGACAGCAGCCAGGTGCAGCTCAGAAACGTCCAGTACATCCAAGCAACTGACGGTGCTTTTGCTGCTGTTCTCGAATCTGGGGATGCTGTGACCTGGGGTTATCCGGAATTCGGCGGAAACAGCAGCCAGGTGCAAGAGCAGCTGAGGAACGTCCAGCATATCCAAGCAACTTGCCGTGCTTTTGCTGCCATTCTTGAATCTGGCACTGTTGTGACCTGGGGTGATCCAGAGCGTGGAGGAGACAGTAGTGAGGTGCAAGAGCAGCTGAGAAACGTCCAGCACATCCAAGCAGCTTCACTCGGTGCTTTTGCTGCCATTCTTGAAGATGGGGCCGTCGTGACCTGGGGTGATCCAGACTGTGGCGGGGACAGCAGCCAGGTGCAAGAGCTGCTGAGGAACGTCCAGCATATCCAAGCAACTTGCCGTGCTTTTGCTGCCATTCTTGAATCTGGGGCTGTTGTGACCTGGGGTGATCCAAGATATGGCGGAGACAGCAGCCAGGTGCAAGAGCAGCTCAGAAACGTCCAGCAGATCCAAGCAACTTGCCGTTCTTTTGCTGCGAGTCTTAAGTCTGGGGCTGTTTTGACCTGGGGTCATGCACAATACGGTGGAGACAGCAGCCAGGTGCAAGAGCAGCTGAGCTTGTAATCTAGTGCTGTTGTGAGAAAGTGACAGTCTGGGGCAGCGGAACCGTGCTAAAAGACGGAAACGACTGGTGAAGTATACAGTGGGAATCCAAAGTGTTGCTTATTGCTTCGGGTTTGGCCGAACCAGCACGGTGCGACGAATGAAAAAAGAAGAACGCAGGTTGGGGTCTTCTTGCAAAGGCTGTTTCTGGCAGCATCCAGATTTCCTCGAAGTTCCCAGCCTTTGAAGGGAAATCAAGAGGATGTCTTTGAAGCAATCGCGGATTTACACATGTGAGCCACAATCACAACCCGGGTAAATGAAGGTTAGTAAGGGACAATCCCAGCCATAAATAGCTTCGGCCGCCTTCTTAGTTCTTTGCATGGTTCTGGGTGGACCATTTTAACACCGGGCTTTGATTCTGACTCATGTTGCCTTCCTGCGGCGAATCGAATCCCCTCCACACAGAGGCACACCTGGTGTTTTTTGTTTGTTTGTTTTTTTTGGGGGGAAGGCACACTCGGGTCCTGCGGAGACCGGTTACCCATACTAGGTAACCCTTCGCAATTTCCCTTTTGGCTTATATCGGGGTTTACTACCCGTGGTTACCTATTGCCAGGTTTGCGTGGATCTGGGTCTAGCATCACCAGGAGGAACTCAACTTAAAGTTTTTCTCAATGATGTCAGGAGACACCAGTGCTTCGAGTTACCACTACTAGGTCAGCAGTAGTGCCCTCTTACCCTTTTTTTGGGGGAGGGTTCCCCTGCTAAAATAGACTACAGAAAAAAGTTGGTACCCTTATTCTAACCTCTCTACTGGAGGACCTAGGCTAGGTCACCAGGGTTTCTTCCCTCTTAAACCCTAAAATCCAAAACCCAATCAACATGTCCAAGTTTGCACGGATCCACTGGGGCCCTTTGCAGATCCAACCAAAGAAGTACTGCAGCACATCTTGGTTGCTGCTGACCCCTCGGTTCCAGGCCAAAAAAAAACTTTAGTGGGTCACACTTCGGGTTTCTTCCCAGGCTTGCCAAACCCCCCCCCCAAAAAAAAAAACACAAAAAGCAACCTTATCCTAACTAGGTCCCCCAGCTGGGTGCCCTTTTTCCCTTTTTCAGGGGAGGGTTCCCCTACTAAAATCAACCGCCAACAGTTGGTACCAACTTATTCTCAGCTCAACTGGAGGACCTAGATTTTGGTAAACAAGAACTCGGGAAGTGAGCCTTGGTTGGAGTCAAACCAATCTATTGGACCTGGCCAAACTTTCCTTGCAGAGCCTTCGAGCCTTGGATCTGAAGGCGAGGACCTGCCGGATCTGAGCCATCTGAGCAGCGCCCAGTTGGAGCGCCTGGAGGCCGCGGCGGTTGGCGCCGGCGTCTGGGGCTGTCTGGGGGCCGGTGGGGGGGGGGAGGGGGGCCTGGAGTGGAGGCAGGGGAGTGGAGGGAGGGGGGGTGGGGCTTGGAGTGGAGGGGAGGGGTGTGGAAGGTGAAAGGCAAAGAAGGCGAAAGGTCTTTGCGACTCAAACAGGGGCTCCTTAAAGGATATTGGTTGAAAGTAGATGGCACAATTCCAGCCGATTTGTTTGCTTTTGTCGCCCATTTGCGCCCCCAGCTGCAAAACCACTGAAACTGGCCCCCCCCCTTGTGCCTGATGCTCCTTTTTCCGGTCTTGTCGCTGTACCTTGTTCCGATGTTATGGGACACTCAATGCACGTCTGCTTCATATTCGGCTATGCGCTTATTTGGGTGAATTATAACGACCTCACACGACCGAATTCACCCCAAATGGTGGTTTATGTTGGGATTCGCCCCCCAACCACCATATTTCATGTTGGTGACATATTATAATTCACCCAGGGCGTGAAATTTAATAGGGAACCACCTCAAAAGTGATTGGTGGACATGAATCCCCACCTAAACGATGTCCACCAAAGCACCTCAGTTGTGCAACCTGTTGGGCTTTATGCTCACCTGAGTGCTCGATGCAAGCCCCTTCCGACTTTCTTTCTTTTTTGACGACTAGACCACATTCGGGGAACCTTGGTGGCGAAGCCAGCCATCCGGTTCAACTTAGCTGTTTGGATCCTTTTAGTGCTTAGTGGTGGTTTCCATTTAACCCACTAACAGTTAAACTTTTAGCAGGGGATCTGAGGGCAGCCCAGGAACCACTTTACGATATCCTTCGTGTCTCTCCTTCTCAAGTGGTTCATAAGGATGCCACATGCTTCATACAGTGGAGCGATAAAACCCACAAAACACAGCGGTTGGGATTTGGGTGTGGGTAAAGAATAGGTACCCAAAATACCTGGTAAGTGGAAAGAAGTGGCCTAACACCAACATGGTCCAACTCCTGGTGGTTTCATGTGGACCAGGGTTGTGGGAAGAGGCTTATCCCCTCGTCTGTGATATAAGGGAATCTCCCCTTCAAAGGCTGGGGTCATTATTTTGACCGTTTCCAGGGGTTATCAAAGTCAGAAAATGGAATCGGTTGTTTCCCTTTAACCCATCACTTAGTGGGTGACTTTGATAATGGATAGAATAGCGAGGCCAGAAAGGGCAGGTTTGTCTTTGGGAAGCCCTCTTGTTGCATCACAGAAGTTGATTCCATTTCAACCACAGCCCTGGTTTCGGTTGATTCGTGTTCAGAAAGCCGCCTTTCACCATACCTGGAGTCTCCATCCGACCCTTTAAAAATGGTTGGTCATGACCCAAAACAATGGTTGGTCATGGACCCATGTTTGATTCGGGTCAGATGGAGACTCCAGGTAGTTGGTTTAAACGAATTCAGCGGTGTGTGCCGTGTGTTCCCTCTGACTGCGGTCGTGAGTTGCCTTGTGTGCCCCGGCGTGCTTGTTTTATCCTTTGCTCATTTCCCACAGCCCTGATGTTGACCCATAGCCTGTTTTTTTGTTTTCTTCCCCAGAATTAGCTCCCCTTTTTGCTTTTTTTGCTTTTTGGGGGTCCCCTTTGTTTTCCACTAACCAGGCAAACAAGATATTTTTCGCGGGGGTCCGATTTGTCCTGGGTTTGACTCATTCGGCTATGAATCTGAATAAGGGACGCGAAATCGTGGACCCGAAATGGTGGACCCGAAATAAGAGCTCCGAGTAGACATTTTGGTTTGGTGGGAAATCACGGAGCTCAGTGGGCCGAAGTTCGAATTTCGAGCCAGGCAGAGCTCAGCAGGGGCTTAACGCAGCAAGGAAACCCAGCCCGCGGGCGCGTGCGAGGTGAGTTTTGTTTTCCCGTGTTTTGAGGGTGTATGTATAATATAGAAAAACACCCTACTCCAATTACCCGCGTTCTTTTTGGTTGGTATTTTTTGGGGAAAAAACAAATACACCTGGGTTTTCATGGTAAATAGGTTTTCATGGTAAATAGTTCCTTTTTTAGTAGAGGGTCGACATCATACCCTACAAACGAGGGTATTGGGTGTAAGGGGTACACATGCATATCTGGAACCTCACACTAGGCGTCCACAAAACAGGGATCTCACCGCACGTAATTTTGTTTGGCGCTGAGTCACACTCAAAACCCGAAACCCGGGTAAGCGAAGGCTAAGGGACAGTCCCAGCCAGACATAGCGCACATCCGCCGTTAAGTATTTCCTTACTTGAGCCACTTGCTCAAAACCGATTCGGGTAGATGATCCGGTTAGTAAGGGCCAGTCCCAGCCAGAAATAGCTGCGGCCTTCTTAATTCTTTACATGGTTCTGGGTAGACCATTTTAATACCAGGTTTTGATTGTGACTCACTTTTCTTTGGGTCGACCAAATTTTACTACCGGGTGATTCTGATTCTCAGGTGCCCCTCAGTTGCAATTCTTTACAACTTATGGTGGGCAGATCATGTTACCAGGTTTTGAAAGCAGACTCACCGGGGTGCATCTGAGGCGAGTTTTTTCCCCTAGTGATGTTTTAAGGGTACATATTATATATATATATATGATATATATGAGATATATATATATATATACATACCTGGGACCCCATATGGCCGTTTTTTTTAGGTCTTACGCCTTTGACCGAAAAACATGGCCATACGGATTTTTACGGTTTTTTTTCAACAACATGTCGAAAAAATATGGGTTTCATACGGGTGATTTACGCAAATGACCGAAAAATCATGGCCATACGGGCAAATACGGCCAAATACGGGAGTTTGACCGAAAACAAAACAGCCATACGGGGTGCCAGGTACACATAGTAATATATATATATATTTATACATAAGAAAACGTGGGGGATACGTGGTTTAGGCATTTGTAGTTTTTCGCCTAAGAGGATATATCAGGACATTTAGTTTTTCCCCTTGGTAGTGAGGCTTTAAGGGGGTTGAGTTTTTTCCTCTGGGAAGTGAGGTATGCTTGTTAAATATGGGTGGGTTTTCAATTTCTCCGGATTTGGCATCTTCCATTTTCCAGTTTTCAAATGTGCATATTTTGCTGTGTTGTGATTGGATGCCAGTTGGCATTGTCCGCTTTCATCCCCGTGTTATGACTTAATTCTGTTTGCACCTCTCAAACTTCTTCCCAACATTCTGGTTGAATGTGGGGCGCAACCTTTGTTTTTGCTTTGCACTACGCATGAGTTTTATAGTCTTTGGAGCGATTTGTTGTGGTTTCCAGTCTCGAGATGGGAGCTTTTGCCTCTAAATGAAATGTTGGCTCAAACAATTGTTCAGCGCACCCCGTTCAAGACGGAAGGTGTGCACTAGGCCATGGCGCGGGTAGACCAAAAGACCCATTCACGGGGAGGCTCCTTGGAGAGAGTGGTCCTGGAGCTGGCCCCGATCATCCACTTGATGAGGTCCGCAGACAGCATCATGGACTTCTTCGGGCCGGAGCTCAGCTTGCTGGCCCTGGCGAGACAGAGGTTCTCACCGGCGCGGAAGACGCGTGAGGATCCCTTCAAGCTCCTGCGGGCGCTCCAGACTGCGAAGACGTTAGGCTTTTCGGTGGGCTGCCTTAACATAGGAGACCCCGAAAAGTGGTTCGTGTCCCCTTTGCTTGTCTTCAAACCAAGCCCAAAGGGCCTTGTGCAATGTGCGCTGGCTGGAAGCCGACAAGTTGTTTTTCAAGAGGCGCGTGGGTACCCGTTTGGACCAGTTTTGCCAGGGAAACCATCAGCTTAAAAGATTACCATGTCCATTTTGGTTGGAGTTTCAATGAGTTTCCTATTTCGAGACCGACTGATCGGTGTTTGAATGGCACGGCACTAAGACCAGTTTCCTCTGAAAGGCTGTGGTGGGGTGACTCTTCTGTTGGCTGGGAGGGTAGCTGTTGCTGGTGACAACTTGAGATCTGTTATTTTTCACCAACCTGTGGTGAGTGGCCAACCAAAAGATGTCAATTTTCTGCTCGAAACCGTGGACTGTGCACTTTTTGGTGCTGAGGTTGGATATCTTAAGCAAGTTGCATGATGAGAGTTTGTACTTTCCAGAAACTCACCGAAAACCTCTTGCAAAGGGAGGAAGGGGATGTTCACCCGACTTAGCAAGCACGGTACAATCACGGCGATAGTCTAAGGGTTTTTGTATTACACCCTGGGAATACACTCACTGGGTATTGACCCCAGTTAGGCACATTTCCGGATAGAACCGTGTTACTTTCCTCCCTCAAGGAGTTTTGCAGGCTTAATTTGTAAAGGACCCGTCTCGGTTCAGGCATACCCCGTAACCACCCAATACTCAGTTGTTCAGTGGCACCGATTATGTTCCCCTTTTTTTGGTGGCTGCCCCACTAAAAATGGTCTTCCCCAAAAAGGGATCCCTTTCTCTCCTTGGTCATTGAACAACTGAGAATACCCACTTTTTTTAGTTAGTATGATCTGTAGACCCTCCACTTAAAAAGGGGCTTTTTACTATGGAACCCCAGGTTTTTCAAAGAATACCAACTCGAAAAAGAGAGGTATCCCAGGGAGTCCAAAGGCCTGAGTTGCGGAGGCCTTTTAAACACAGAGGTTTTTTACGGGGTGTTTACGGCCGTTGACAAAAGGCATAGGTTACTCAGGCCGAGGAAGCTCTGGGTATGGATGCCATAGCAATACGAGTTTGTGCAGTACCCCTCATAAAAAGGCGGCCAGTGGTATCGAAGCTTATGAGCTTACCTTACCCCCGTAACCTCCAAATACCCACTTTTTCTAGTTGCCTTTTTTTGAATAACCGATCGGCTTTCCAGAGAAATACCGACCCCTTTTTTAGTAGAGGGTTGACAAATCATACCAACTAAACAAAGCGAGGGTATTGGGTGTAAGGGGGTATACACATACATACCTGGAACCTCACACTAGCCATAAAACAGGGATTTCACTTCACCCAATAATTTTGCCTACCTTACCTTGTCGAACCTTATAAGCTTACCTCCAACCCCCGTCCGTGTCTGGACAGCTCTTTGCTTCAGCCTGACAAGCGCCGAGGCCATCCCGGGATCCAGGCTGTGCGTCCAGTCGCTGAGTCGTCGCCGCCCGATTTTCGAGCGACTCGGTGTTGGCGTTTCAGGTGAAGAAGGATCCTCTATACCCCCGTAATCTCCAAATACCCGGCCGTTTTCTAGTTGGTATTTGTTGAAACACCGATCGCGATCCCTTTTTTGGTAGAGGGTCGACATCATACCCAGAAAAAAACAGGTATTTGGAGTAGGGGATACCGCTTAAGGTGAACCAGATGAGAAGTACAAAGCCAACAAAGGACAAATACGGCCTAGACAAGAAATTGTTGTGTGTCTGCCTTGAACCAGCCATAGGAGTAAATTGGGCGGGCTCCCTCCCATGGCACCTGGGAGGTACCTGGAAGATCAAGTGAGCCACAATCAAAACCGATTCGGGTAAGTGAAGGTTAGTAAGGGACGATCGGCAGATATCCGCCTTCTTAGTTCTTTACATGGTTCTGGGTCGACCATTTGTGTACCGGGTTTTGATTGTGACTCAAGTTCCTCTTGAAGGGACCAGGGCCCTGCATGTTAGTGGGAGGGAGTGTCGAGAAAGAGATGGGTTCCACTGTGTAGAGTGGTTTTATGCCATTTCCATTTGCCAGCAAAACCCGTTACCAACATGTTACCTATGCTACGGCCACCAATGTTGACCCCGGATGAATAACCCCCGTCCTATTAATGGGGCGGGTGTTCCCTCTAAAAGTGAAGGATTCCCACTAAAAGGGGACACCTTCCCCATTTTAATAATCAACCAGGGGTTTATGAATCCGAGATTTCCATTAGGTTTGCAACAATCCCACGATGTGTTTCCCAAGCAAGTACTGCAACTGAACCAACCGCATATTCGGTGGTTCCCAGCCATCCCCTCAGCGTTTTTTGGTTGGTTGAGTTCGGGGGTTTCCCCACCAGGGTATCTGAAAAATCGGACGGCCCACATCTCGAGTCTCCTCAAATATAGATTGATACTATAGGTTGAGCAAACATGAAATACGGCTGACTGACTGAATATGACTAGGTCCCCCAGTGCCCTTTTGCCCTTTTTTTGGGGAGGGCTCCCCTACTAAAATAGACTACAGAAAAAAGTTGGTACCCTTATTCTAACCTCTATACTGGAGGACCTAGATGAAATACAAACTGAATGAATCTCAACAGTTGCGTGGTGAATCCTTTGCGGAGGCTCCAATTCGATGTATTTAGGGCCCTCAAACAGCCAGGTTTGAGACCCCCAAACACCTCCGGGGGGTCTAATGGAGGGGTCGGGTCTTCCATAGAAAGCCCCAGGAGCCTCTGGGCATAAACAAAAGTTGGAGTCCACCAACCACATTTTTGCGTTGCTACAACCCATGTTCTAAGATGGAATAAGCAGGGTTCAGCTACCCGTTTTCCCGGAAGCATCTCTGGGTTTTCGATGTACGGACCATCTCCGGTGAGTACCCGACCCCATCAAGACGTCTTCTGCCCAAAAACTTGGTCCCCCAGTACTGCCCTTTCTTTTACCCTTTTTTGGGGGAGGGTTCCCCAACCAAGACAGAAAAAAAGTTGGTACCAACTTATTCCAACCTCTCTACTGGAGGACCCAGAAAAAAAATCCGACGGAACTCGCTTCGCCAGGGCAAATTGAAGCCGAAGCTTCACCTCCACCGCCGGAGGAGAATTCAGTTCTCGCTGGCCCGAAAGACGTCACTGAATCGGGACCCGAAAGAACTGGCCTGAAAGGGACCCGAAACGCCAGCCCTCTTGGGAAAGCAAGCCATGGTTTTCGAACAATACCTGGGGATCCAATTCATACTTCAGGTTTTGGACGTACCCTGTTGCCCAGTGGCGCCCTTTTTTCCTTTTTTTGGGGAAGGGTTTCCCTTTGAACTCAACCAACCAAAAAAGGATGCCCCTTTTTTCTCATCGCCTCTGGGCATCTGAGAACCATGATTCTGGGGCACCGACCCATACCCTGACAAAAGGGGAAACACACACCAACCATCATTTGGGGTTGCATGCGATGGTACATGTACCCTTGAAACCATTGTCAAACAAGTGTCACATAGTGCTCTGTTAAGGGGTGGCATTCGAATATACCTCAAGTATGTACCCACAAAACGAGCTTTGTTCTCCTTCAAAATCCACGAAATGAGTAGCATCAGAAAAGAGACATGTCAAATTTTACAGACTCAATTTGTTCGTCCACCAATCGCTGTGGCCTCTCTACCTTACTTGTACCCCCTACTCCAAATACCCACTCTTTTGTTCTTTTTTGACAACCTGGTTTTCCATGGTAAGTAGAGGGTTTACATGATACCCTAAGAAAAGTGGGTATTGGGTGTAAGGGGTAGGCATTCTCTATTGACACTGGCTTCAAGTTTGTAAGCTGCAATCTTCTCGTGGACAAAGATCACTTCCCCATTTTTGTCCGGCCCAGTGCCTCGAAACAAGGCAGCTTCACTGAACAAAGTCTGTTTCGTTTTTTTCTTCGGCCGAGAGCCTCGCATTTCGCTCCTCTCGTTCCAATCCCTCTTCCTCGCCATGATGCGATTCGCGGCGATTTCGGCGGCGCTGCTTCGCGTGGTTGGCGCGCAGCTGCTGCCGGAGGCGCCCGTGGATTTTGAAGAGCTGCAGCGCCTGATGCACGAGGCGCGAGGGGCGCGAGCGGCGGATTCGCGGGTGTTCGATGCGTTGGGCGGGCATCGATGGAAATTGGTCACAACTCACCAACTCACAAAGCAGGAAACCAGACCAACCAAACCCATATACTAGGTAGCCAGCTATTTTGCTTTGGTGTCTAAATTGGGTAGTTTCCTGGGATCTATCATACGGGTAAATGGATCCTTTGTCTAGTTGCTTCGGATTGGGTTGCAACCCCTTCATAAATAATGGCAGCCCCAGATGAATCAAGCGTCTTGGTGGCTCCCAGCCATCCGGTTCTTTAGCTTTTTCGCCTTTTAGTGTTTAGGTGTAGTTTCCATTTCACCCACTCAGCTAGTGAGTCACTTTTAGCGGGGGATGACAAAACGGGCAGCCCAGTATATCAATACGCGGGGTGAGGAATCACTGGGCCCCCCACCCTGGGGTCTCAACATTTTTCCTGGAAATCATCTCGTTTTGTGGCTGGGGTCCGAATTCCAGCCTAGGTCCCCCAGGATCGTGCCCTTCTCTCCCCTTTTTTTGGGGGGGAGGGTTCCCCGTGTCTAAAAATCACTACAGAAAAAAGTTGGTACCAACTTATTCTAACCTCTCTACTGGAGGACCTAGTAATTGTCGTTGCCCTTGTTGGTCTACCTAGTGGATCTTAGGCAAGCTATTCATACTGCTTTCTTGTTGGCTTCACCGACAAGGGGCCCGAGTCCAAGTTGTTGGAGCTTGTTTTCAATGCGATCCCGGTCCGCCTTGAATCCGGGGTCAACATGCTGCAAATTAAGATGGATCTGTGTTTGTTTGGAGTTGGTACTTGGATGTTTGGCCAAATTAGTAGCTGTTTAGCCACTTGGGATACAACCCACTTATAACAAGGTTAACTCCACTTAGGGGAATTTATAAGTGGGTTATACCCTAGGTACTCTTTTTCAGGTTGGAAACTAAAGTTGGAACAAGTTGGACGCCGCCTCTAAATTGAAGCTTCCCTCAAAGACACATGGAATCTAACAAACCTCTACTGCTATTGGACTGCATCTTTAGACTTTTACCTTTTTGGATACCCGCCCATATTTCCTGACCTGCAAAAAAATACTTGAACTTGCTGCTGGGGGATCTACAGCACCCAAGAAGCAAACACCTTGTTTTGCGTGGCAGATGTTTCCTCTTTGGGGGACTCAGGGCTTCCCAGATGCTGATCTGGTCCCTAATTTCTTCAACACCCAATCCCCATGATGCGCACATTGCGGGATTCTGCTGTTTGCGGATTCTTACCTCTTTAAAACACCACTTCTCTCAACTTTTTGGGGGTCACATGGGCGAAAAATGTCTGTAAAAGATGAGAACTTCCCCAGGTTGCTTGGAGTTTCAAAGGGGTAAGGATTAGAAGGTGGGTCAACGGTGTTGTTTTTGGTTCTTGGTGCTTGTACATACCTGGACCCCCCAAAAAGATTAGATTGCAAGATGGTGCGGAAAGGTTTTCGCGGATGGCGGATGGTGAGGCCCCCATGGTTTCCGATGTGGCAGGGCGGCCGCCCAAACGTAGCACCTGTGGAGGTACCTGGAGGTGGAATTTCCTCAAGCGACCTATCAGGTGCCACGTCGGTGACGCATATAACAACAACCACCCACCCACCCACCCACCCACCAAACAAACAAACAAACAAACAAACAAACAAGCAAGCAAACAAACAGCAAATGGGCTGGTCGTCCTTTTGGTATCCCGTTAAACCTAGCCGCCAGATTCTTCCAACCCCAAAAAACGAGCCACCGGTCCACGTCCATTTGGGGTCGCTGGGTCCCTGGGTCCCTGGCCGAGGAAGGCTTGGCGGACGGCGATGCGCCGGTGCCCAGCAACCTCTCAAGCCCCAGCTTGTGCGACAGCAGCGTGAAGCCCGGCGCTTGCGGAGGGCACGTCCCCCCTAACCTCCCAGAACTAGCTCCGCTCCTTTTTCTTCTTTTTGCTTTTTGCTTTTTTGGGGTCCCGTTTCTTGGTTTTCCTCTAACCAGGCACAACAATATGGTTTTTTTGCTGGGGTCCGAGCTCCAGCTTCCTACAAAATGGAGTTGGGGGGGGCTGCTGGAATGGGTTGATGCTTCTATTTGTCCCTTTTGTGGTTGGACGTCGGTAAATGTGAGGCCGAATGGGCTGATGGCTTTTGGCGGGGGGGGTGGGGGGGCGCTGGAATGGGTTGACTAGGTCCCCCAGCGATCGGTGCCCAACCTCTCACCCCTTTTTTTTTGGTTGGGAGGGTTCCCCGTGTCTAAAATAAACTACAGAAAAAAGTGGGTACCAACTTCTTCTAACCCCTCTTCCAATTTTCCCTTTTGTGGCTGGAAGTAGGTAAATGTGAGGCCCAGCTGCAACCAGACGGCGCCCAGTGGTGTCCTTTTGATCGGAATTTGGGTAAGGAAATATAGACTACCCTTTGGAAACCTGCAACAAGCAAACCTGGACCCTCACAATTCCCTTAAACATGGGTTATAGCAACCGCAAATGATGGTTGGTGAAATCCAACTTTTTGATGGGCAGTTCTTTCGGGTCTGGGTATCGATGGCACCCCCTTTTCTTGGTGCAGTTGGGGGAGGGGAGGAGCCCTGGAATGGATTGATGTTTCCATTTTCCCTTTTTTTGTTGGAAGACTTGGTAAACGGAATTGGGTCCCGGACCCCCCCCCCTCCGTCTTAAGGTAGGCCCCAAAAACGGCACCTTGGCACCTTAGCAAATGGAAACAACGACTAAAACCTGCACTCTGAATAATTTCGAGCCGCACCCGTGTTTTTGTTGTGGAAGGCTTCCCATTTTGTCCTTTCACTACCCAAAGGTCGTTGTTTTCCCCGAGTATTCATCGAGTATTCATGCTCGGCTACATGCAAAGAAGCTTTGGGGTTTTGGCCTGAACATCCAAGTATGTGGGGTGTTGGAGAGGGCAAGCCCTTTCAAATGAGCCAAGAAACGGGGGTCAGCCCGTTTTCCCCTCTGGAAGTCTGGGCCGAGGAAGCAGCACGCGGGGTACCTGGACGTTGCGGCTGGCACCAAGTACTTCTTCTGGATGCCTCTTGGCTTTCGTCTTGGACAGGGGTCCAAATACCATCCTTTTCTAGTTTTTTTTTTTGAAAAACCTGGTTTTTCAAGGTGCATACCATCTTTTTCTTTACTAGAGGGTCGACATCATACCCTTTCAAAAAAGTTGGTATTGGGTGTAAGGGGTACATATATATATATATATATATACACATCTACTTCCCCAGAACGAGCTTCCTTTTTTGTGCGGTCCCCTTTGTTTTCCACCAACCAGGCAAAGCTTATAGTTTCGCGCTGGGGTCCTAATTCCATCCAAGTATATATATATACATATATCTATAATATGTCCAATAAACATATATATATATATATATATATGTACCAGTCCCTGGGCCACGTACCCCCCCCCCCCCCCCCCAATGGTATGGTCCCCCCACTCCCCCGCATCATCCGCATCTTGGGGATGATGCTGGCAATGCTGGGGATGCTGTCCAGTACCGTGCGAGCCCTGCAGCTTCGGTCCCAGACCCCCTTTCACCCCGTGAACCAACACCCCCGCACCTCTCGCAACATCCTACCCTAAACCAAACCACCCTGCAACCCCTCCTTAACCCCAACCCTAAGCCTAAATCAACCCAAAACCCAAACCCACCCGAAACCCACCGCAAACCAACCCTGAACCAACCCTGAACCAACCCTAAACCAACCCACCAAGCCTAAACCAACTCCGAACCACACCCAACCACCCAACCACCCAACCACCCCCAACCACCCAACCACCCAACCACCCACCACCCCACCACCCCACCACCCCACCACCCCACCACCCACCCCCCCCACCACCCCACCACCCACCCACCCCACCCCCACAGGGGGGGGGGGTTGGGGGGGGGAGGGGGGGGGGGTCCACGGCCTGGAACATATATATGTATACACATATGGGCATCTACACATACATATACACATACCTCGCTCTCTCTCTCTCTCTCTCTCTCTCTCTCTCTCTCTATATATATATATATATACATATGCAAGTGTAAGTATAGATGTACACATGTCTGTGTGTGCATATATACACATAAATACACTTGTATTGTTTGTTTTTTTGTTTTGCGGCTTGGTAACCTTTTCACTTTGGTTTTACGTGGAACCAACATGTGCACCATCCCCCAATTTTTACAATCCCACATTCCCTCTCTCTTGGTGGTTTTCAGAATCACTTATTGGGCCTATTTAAGTTGTGTTTCCTTTTGGCGCGATGATGTGGGACATACCGGAGCCCTACTGCATCGTGTGAACAGCCCAAGTCCGATTCCCATTGCACATTGCAGCAAATGGTTCTACCTGGCTTGATGGGGTAGTACGGCCTACATAAGCGTTTGGAGCAATTGGGACATGTTTGTAGAACCAAAGGTCAATAGGTTTGCGCTGCTCATATTCCCATCCTCCTGTACTGCATTGACGTGGCCTGGGGCGGTTCGCCCGAGTCTTGGGTTTTGAGTTTCAGTCGCTGATGCAGTGTGCAATGGCTCCACTCCCGAGCTACTCCCCACCTGGGCTCCCTAGACTTCGCCTTTGGTGATTTAAAGCTATTACCTGAGTCACAATCAAAGTTAATGAAGGTGAGTAAGGGATACCCTCCCACAATTCATATGGAACCTGACGTTCAGGACCAGTCCCTTGAAAAGAAACATGTTCCAAACCAGGACCGATTCCCCGAACATCAGGTTCCTGTGTTCATTGAGGGTAATCCCAATCATAAATGACGGTGCCTGGGCCCTCAAAAGTCCTTCAAACATGGGTTGTAGCCCTAAATTCATGGGGTGAAATCCCTTTTTATGGGTCACTCACCTCTCGCTCCACCCCACCCCCACCCCCTTCCACCCCCTTCACCCCCTCCCCCCAAACACCTCCACTCACCCCCACCCCACCCCACCCCCACCCCACCCCCACCCCACCCCCACCCCACCCCCACCCCACCCCCACCCCACCCCCACCCCCTTCACCCCCCCCGAAACACCTCCACTCACCCCCACCCCACCCCCACCCCCTTCACCCCCTCCCCCGAAACACCTCCACTCACCCCCACCCCACCCCCACCCCACCTCAGGTTCGAGAGCCGTTCCAAGCCCTCCAGCGACCCCCTGGTGCTTTGGCTCACCGGCGGCCCGGGCTGCTCCTCCCAGCTTGCCCTCCTCGCGGAGAACGGGCCCTGCAACATGGCCAAGCGCCTCGGCTTCCGCCTGTCCACCCAAAAGGGAGGAAGCTCCAAACCGAGGCAGGAGAGGAACCCCCCCCCAAAGAAAGCACGTGGGGGCCCCTGCCCCCCCAAAAACGCCGCGGCCTTGTTTTCTTTTTTGTTTTGGTTGGTCTGATTTGTTTGGTTTTTTGACTCGTCGACCCACTAAGAAAGGAGGAATCTTCTCATGGAAGCCTCTGGGGACTCGCAGGCGTATGGAGTTCGCCGCGCGTTTTCAGTCCACTGAAGTGGGCTCGTACAAGTCTACTTCTGAACCGCCGAGAAAAAATCCGGCCGAATCTGGACAAAAGCAAACCCAGTTTAAAAAGAAACAACTAAAACAATCTGGCAAAAACAGTGTTTGTTTATGTTTTTTTTCCTTCTGGAACGGCCCCAACAGCAAGGCAGCTTTTGCAGGCACCAGGTAGGCAACCCAGGAAGGCAACGACTTCCTTGGCCGAAGGGACCCGAAAGTAAGGAGGTCCAGGAGACTCCTTGAAGGAACCCTACGGGGTCACCGGAAGGGGAATTCTGGGGAACCCTTGTCAGCTCTCAGCTACCAAGTTGAACAGGATTTTGTATGATCAATATTCCCTAGAGGGCCCCGAAATGACCATTTCGCGGTGAAAGTCCGAATTGTGTTTCTTTGAGTGGGTGCTCCACTGGTCATCAAAGGTGGCTCGCCTTTGGATCAACTTGACATTTTATGTCTCCAGTCAGGCACGTGGCTAAGGGCTTGCTGAGGGGAAACTGTCCATGGGAAAACCTCGAGGAAATCCTACAGTAGTGGTAACTGGACACCGTTTGGGAAGGCACTGCAGCCATTCAATCGCCAGGAGTTGCCGTTTGTCCGAAGCTTGCAGTTGCCACTCACATGCTGCAAGTTACCAGGGAATCCCTGCGACCTCCTCGCCCCCCCCAAAAAAAAATAGAAAGAAAGAAAGAAAGAAAGAAAAAAAAGGAAAGAAAGAAAGAAAGAAATAAATAAAGAAAGAAAGAGGAAGCAACGAATCAACGTTTCAGTTTGATTTGAGTTCTTTTCGCGGCTTAGGCGTCCGTTAAAGTGAATAATGTGCTGGTTCTCAGTAAGGAATTTACATACAAGTTGATTCGTTTGATTCTTTGCAGGAGTTGGCTTGGCCGTTCCTTGGTGGTTTTCAGCAGGGAGTTTGGAAACAAAGCAGACCAGCCAGGATAGTCAAGCCAAGCAGACCGACACACCAAAGACCACCAAGGACTAGTTGCTGGGTCTCAGGAATAAATCTCAAGGGTCTTGAGAATGAATGTGGGGATTCCCGTAGAGGAAAATACCAGGGATGGTTTATAGGGGTCATTCCTTCATTCCCCACTTAGAACCAGCTCGGAGCAAATACCGATACCCAGATGTTTGTGTCTGTTGTGTTCCGTTTTTTTTTTTTTTTTTTTCCTCCCCGGTGGGGGGACACTTTCTTCTTTTCTTTTTCCGGATTGTTTCACACATGAGCTCAGCCACCCCCGCGACCGAAAACCGATTCGGCGGTGGTACTCGTCGCGCCGAATCGGTGGGGACCCGTGCGAGCCGTGGCGCCGAAAAAACCTCCAGGCCCCGGGCTCCAGTCCAACCCTCCAGGCCCCGGGCGCCTGAAGAGATGTGGCCATTTCGCATTTCCAGTTATGAAGCCACCATTGACCATTTGCCATTTACCCCCCCATTTTCCACCATTTTCCGCCTTGTAAATGGAGAATGGCTTTTTCTTTCCGCCAAAATGCAGAAATGGACACCACCATCTACAAGGCAGGCAATGTTCAGGTGTTTCTCATGCATCCGGATCCCTGCTAAACCCAAAACCAATCGCAAACCCAAGCAGACCCAACAGTCAAACAACTAACTCTGACAGCCCACCTAAGGGACACTTGACATGATATAAGGGGCCAGATAAAATTGGTAGATGGGTGTGTGTTTGTTTGGGGCGCTCTTCTCTTCAGCACAGTTTAGATCAGGGTTGTGGGAAGAAGGGGTTGCAGTGCTTCCAGTTCCCTTTTTCTTTGTAGCCAAGTATGTTTACCTCTAGGTTTTACCATGGATGTTTCCCAAAGTGGTAACATGCAGCACTGGGTTTGGGAAGTCGGCATGACAGAAGTTGGAATTGGCAGACCATCAGACTCTCGATCCCTTTTGCCCCTCACCACTTGGGCGACTCGAAGGGCAACCTAAACCCACGGCTCGGGGAAGTGCAGCCTGCACTCGGGGAGTTGCAGCGACTTAACCCCTCGGTCCCTGACCCTTGCTCCGTGTCCATTCTACCTACCCCCTACTCCAAATACCAACTTTTTTCTTCTTTTTTTTTGAAAACCTGGTTTTCCATGGTAAATACCTCCTTTTGTAGTAGAGGGTTTACATGATACCAACTAAAAAAGGCCGATATACTTTCAAACTGGTTCGGCGGTTCCAGGGTCCCCATACCTCTTCGCCAGAGCCCCGCGATTTTTGTCTTTGGTTCTCTCGTTTTTTTTTTTTTTCTCTAGGAACCTGGGATGTTTTTCGGGATTTAGGACAACCCCTCGCGGATCTCAGCTACCCCTATAGCTAACCAGCCATGTTCCTCTTGGTTTTTAAGGCTGGTTCCCTTGGCCTACTTTTACAGGTAAACGGATTCGCTGGATGATGTTTGGTCAATTTGTCATGGCCCCAAAAGCTGAACCTTCTATGTCTGGGTCCTTTGGGCAGCTGATTGCGGTTCCCATATTGATCTGCAGGGAAGCAGACCTTTGCACGCGGAGAAGTCTGGCCAAGGCATCCGGCATCCGGTGTGTCTTTTGGGTAGGGTTCCCCGAGCCAAAATTGCCTCCCTCCGAACCAACACGGCACCTCACATGGGGAGATCAGCCAGCTGGCCTATATGAGATACCCTCCCATCATGTTTTTCCGGGAGGAGGGATACATTTCTGGTTCTGGTCTTTGTTTTTGCGATCAGCTGAGCCAGCTTGGCCTCAATCCAAAGAAAGTCCCGAGGAACGGCACGGGCACGCAGAAGAACGTCCACAGCTGGACTTCCAACGCCAACGTGATCTGGGTGGATCAGCCCGCTGCCACCGGCTTCTCCACCGGTCTGCCCTTGGTCCACAGCGAGGACGGCGTGGCAGGCGCGAAAAAAGGAAAGCGAGCCGAAATTCGCGGGGGAGATTCTCGGGGGGGGGGGGGGGGCGAAGTCCTGAATCAGAATGAGAATCCACTTGAGCGGCGATCAAAACCCATTGCCTTTTTTGGTCCTAGCAACGCAGCTATAAGGATATATATATATATAGCTGTGTATATATATAGGCCGTACTACTAACTACTGGTATAATCAACCATGCAGTAGAACCATCTGCCAAGGTGGCCAGTAGGGGTTTTGGGCGCGGCTCACTTGGATCGTGTTTAGTGAATTGGTTACAGCCAGTTACAGCTGTTAAGTGGGACGACAGGGGTTGGTAAACATATGATGACAACTAGGTCCCCCAGTAACTCAGTAGCGCCCTTTCTCTCCCCTTTTTTTTGGGGAGGGTTCCCCTACTACAATAGACTACAGAAAAAGGGTACCCTTATTCTAACTCTGTACTGGAGGACCTAGATAAGCTTCTCACTAGCAGGTTGAACATTTGAGGCTTGAACTGGATTTGGCCGAAATCGCCCCTGAGGGTGTGACCCAACACTCACAAGCAATGATTCTTAGGGCCTTAGTCTGCCACTTTGAAGACCCAGGTGTGTTGTTTCGACCTCAGTACCCTTGGAGTGCTAAAGGGCAACCACATGTTGTTGTTGTATTTGTTGTTCTTCTTTTTTGTGTGTTTCGTTCTTGTGTTTTCCTCTTTTTTGCTTATTGTGGTTTAGTGGGAAATTCTCACACAACTGCTAACATGTTAATTTTTGCTCCCCTTCCAACGTCAACCAAGACCAAAGCGAAGAAGAGAAAACCACCAAAGCGTGTAGGTCCTTCTGAGACCAGCCATCGGATGTTTATTGGATTGGAACAAACCCCTGGGGCCCAACTGGTGTTTGAATGGGGCATTGCAGTAGCCGCGGACCCTGGCAAACCGGAACAGGGAAGGAAAACCAGGGAAGATCTTGTTGCAACCAGTTGCCTTGACACCCCTTTTCTCTTGTGTTTTGCCAACAGGAGCTTGGATTTGTTCAAGTGAGCCACAATCAAAACCTGGGTAGATGAAGGTTAGTAAGGGACAATCCCAACCATAAATAGCTGCGGCCGCCTTCTCAATTCTTTACATGGTTCTGGGTGGACCATTTTAGTACCAGGTTTTGATTATGACTAAAGTGGTTCATTCACTTGCAACCAAGGCAAATCGACCTGAGCTGACCTTTGATATGCATTTTTATTTCCACAGGGCTCCTTAAAAGATACATTTTGCCCATTTGAAACATGTTGCTTTTTCCAGCAACATAAGGGGGAAACCACAATTGACAAGTTGCAATGTTCAGGTGTATTGTCAGGATCGCTCCAGCTCCCATCCGGGGCTTGCGAGTTTGTTGATGCCGAGTCGAGTTCGGCAGGAAACATGTACAACTTCATGCAGGCGTGGGAAGGGACCGCCCCGAAAACGGCGTGGGAAGGGCGCGCCAGGCCCAAAACTTGGCCGGAGTTCGGAGAACCAGCGAGTCGTTGGGTTCGACTTAGGTTTTAGTGTTTTTTTTTGATGGTTGGTTCAGTGAATGGGTGACCGACCATATTTAGAACCAAGTTATTCATTTTTAGCGGGGGATCAGAAAACGGGCAGCCCAGAAAAGTCGGGGTGTCCGACGTCCGAGCCATTTTCCCTTGAAAGCTGGAACATCCAGATTTGTGGCGGTCTCAATGGAAACCAGCAGTGAAACCTGAAAGAGGCGATCGTTTCAGCAACCAGTCACCAGTGCCAGACTGAACGCAGCTTGCCCTCGAGTTTCTGGTGCGATAGGTAGGTGCACCTGTTCTTGAAATTGGGCAGTTAGAAGCCCGCCGCAAAACTTGCTGGTGCGAGAGGTGAGGAATGACACCACCAGTTGGATGGTCTACTTCTGGGGCCGCCTTGTGTTCCCTTTAAGCACGCACAAATCATCACAACCAGCCGCCGTCACTTGCAGAGGCGTGGATGGAATTGAGTTGATACAACATGTTTTTGCGGGGCAGCCAATGACCAAGCCGGACTCGCTCCCAAAGAGCCTCCCGCCGTGTTGCGGAAAAAGCTGAATCCATGTCAAACTAAGATTGCTATATGCCCTTACTGCAAGAAGAACCACACAAAACTATTAGAGCAACCCGAAAGCATGTACCTCATGCGAGTCTCTTTTGTTCAAATTAAGGTGGAATCTGCAAACCCTCATTGGAAGAGGAACCCCATAGTTGCAAACCCTTCTTAGGGTTCTATGTGCAGGTAGAATCAACGGCGTGCGAAAGGGCGTTTGCTAGTTTCCACAACTGTCTGCCGTTAGGGTTTCAGAGGATGTTTACTCATTTTCACCTGATCTTAAACGGAATCTATCACTGTGACTACTGCCTGGAGTCTCCATGACCCTTTACAAATGGGTCCATGACCCCATGATTTTGGGTAATGACCAACCATTTTTTAAGGGTCAGAAGGAGACTCCACGGTGAGTCAATAGTTAGAACCGCACTGCAAAACCATTCGGAGCCAGTGGAACCAAACAGCAGATCGTGTGGATGATCGTGACGTGACTTTAGACCAGCTGACTCCTGGAGATCCACCCGGGTTTCGCCCTAGCCGCCAAAAGGTGTTCCTTTTGCAGGGCTCCTTAAGAGATGTGACCATGTTGCATTTCCATTTGAAGCATGGCTGGCTTTTTCAACACCAAAATAAAGGGGGACACCCCCATTGACAAGTTGCAATGTTCAGGTGTAAAATGTAAGGATCCCTGTTTTGCTTTCCCTAGCCTTTCGCTTCCAAGAAACACCTTTTTGCCGAGAAGGTGTTCCTTTTGGTTCCCAAAGCGGAACCAGGCCACACCGGAGTCTTCGTTGCAGAAAATTACCCCCGATTTATCAACTTGATTTACCCCTTTGTTTTTCGTGGGGTTTGGGCTGCCTGGCACCCCGTATGGCTGTTTTTTTTGGTCAAACTCCCGTATTTGGCCGTATTTGCCCGTATGGCCATGATTTTTCGGTCATTTGCGTAAATCACCCGTATGAAACCCATATTTTTTCGACATGTTGTTGAACAAAAAGCCGTAAACATATGTATGGCCATTTTTTTCGGTCAAAGGCAAATGACCAAAACAAACGGCCATATAGGGTCCCAGGTGGGTATAAAGAAGTCTGGTGGTGAAACCTTTGAATTGAGGAAGCCATACCTTCGGATTTTTAGAACCCCCATCCCTTTTCGGGTGACGCGGATCACTTTTGAGTGATCCGGATTGATTCCTACCAAAAGTGCTCCGAAGATGTTCCTATTCTCGCTCCCTGAATTTCTTGGCTTTGATCACTTTACTTCCCCAGAATTAGCTCCCCTTTCTGCTTTTTTGCTTTTTTCGGGTTTCCTTTGTTTTCCACTAACCAGGCAAAAAAGATATTTGTTTTGCTGGGGTCCTGATTCCAGCCTAGTTTAGGGGTCAGTACCCTTTGGTAAGTAAACAAAGCTTTAGGCTTGTGCTGGCCAATCCACTCGCTCGGAAGTGAGTATCAATCAACTAGGTTGGTTTTCATTCAGGACTCAACATCAGCACCGAGAAACTGACCTTTTGGTTTCCCACAAAAGGGGTCCGGTTTTAGTGGCAACTCAAAAGGGGATCACCGCTTATTTCCACCGCTTCTCAGGAAAACATGTTGTGTTTTGACCAAGAGGGGCAGATATATCACATGGAACCTCCGAGAAGGTTTGGGTTTTGGTTCCCATACCAGGTTGTTTCCGAGTTGAGAAGCCAAGCTTTTCTCTAGGGCTTGACTCCTTATTCTTTGCAACCATTGTTCTTGCCAAAGCCGGCCGTTTTCGTTGGGTTTTCCGGAGGTTTTCTAGAAAGATTCGGATCCCTGGTTGAGGGGGATCAGAAAACGGACAGCCCAGAGGTTTTGGAGTCGGTTCCCATGAGTTGAGAAGCCACGCTTTTTAGATCTTCAGGAGTTCTACAAGGCTTTGCCGCAGTACAAGGGCTTGGAGTTCTTCATCTTCGGCGAGTCCTACGCGGGGCACTACGTGCCGGCGGTGAGTCACTACATCTGGCAGCAGCGGCTTGGACGGGAGGCAGGCCACCATCAAAGCGATGGTGGGGTTAATATTTCACCCTCAAAGTACCCATTTAAAAAAAGAAGAAACGTGTGGGATTTCACCAACCATAATTTTGCGTTGCTATAACCCATCTTTGAGTTGGAAGTTTGAGAGTCCAGGCACCAGTATTTATTTACTCGTCAAGATTTTCATCATCCAAATTGGATCAACAATTCTTTTAATGGGGTTTGAAGCGCAGGGGGAAGGGTCAGGTGCCTTGTTCGCGGGAAAACGGTAGCAACCACTTGTGCGACAAAACGGGAGTCGATTTGCAAAGGCAACATGCACAACCATTCACTCGAAGGGGGGGGGTCATGGCATCACAGGGATTGGACTCTCCAACGCCATTCCTATGCTAGGCATCAGAGGTACCTGGAGTCTCCATTGACCCTTAGAAATTGGGCTTCCCCCCAAATGGTCCTCAAGGGCAAGTGAGAGGTTGACCAGCACCCCGGGTCACAAGGTCCCAAGCGTTGCTTTTTGGACACCTGGGATCTCGGATGGGTGGGTGGGGGCGTGTCCCTGGATTTAGTGGGGATTCAGACCACTTTTGAAGGGGAACACCCCCATATTAATAAACCGGGGTTTATTAATCCAGGGTCAACATTAGGCAGCCAAGGGGTTGAACAACCCTTCAAAAGCCAAAAGGTAAATAGATCGAAGGGTTACCGGCTATACGGGCAAAACAGATTCCTGGGATCCACCCAAAAACGGCTATATTAAAAAACACACACCCTTATTGCAGGAAGCTAGCAGGAATCTACCGGAATTCTCGGTTTGTTGGTGTTTGTCGATTTGTAGAGATTCCTGTTTCTATGACATGTGCACACGGCCAGGAATTTTAAACAGTGGCTGGCGGGCTTACATACCCATCAACAATGATGTCCACCAAACGGTCTTTTTAGAATTCACACCCATATGGTTTTGTCTCAAAATAGGATGTGGAACCCCTAAAATCGTTATATTGTCCTTTCGGCTTCCTGTTAGAAACAAAAGCACAGCAAAAAAGGTACTTTGGTACTGGGTTTCCTTTTAAAACCACGGAAAGCAACAATTAAAACCAAATTAATCACAATAACTTGCTGTTTTTCCTTTAAAACAAATCGTACCCTCAGAAGAAACATCAAGGAAAAAATGGGTACCCAGGTCCCGAGCCCTAGCCCCCATTTTCGGCTTTCTTTTTACTTTGACGCGCCCAGCCACGTCACGCCACGCGAGGAATCAGAAGGCCAGCGGCTTCAAGATCCCTTTGAAGGGCGTGGGCATCGGCAACGGGCTCACAGACCCCCAGGCCTTGGATTCGTTGCGTTTGTTGAGGAAAAAGCCAACGGAGAACCGAAGACTTCCATAAAAACTTTTGGGATGATGGTGTGTTTATGGGAGCTTCCCCAGAATTAGCGCCTTTTTTTGTTTGCTTTGTGGGGGTTCAATTGTTGCTTTCCATATTCCACTCACCAGGCAAACCTATTTTTTGCTGGGGTCCGAATTCCAGCCTAGAGGAAACCAATGGAGGAAACCTTGGTCCAGGAGAGTGGTGAAAAAAATATTCCATTCCAAAGAGAGAGCCGGAAGACGTCCATTTGCTTTTGGGGTGATGGTAATTTCGTTTTTTCTTGGGGGGGGAGTTGGTTGATAACCTGAAGAGGACCGGAATGCATTTTGGGGGAGACCCAATGGAGGAAACCCATGGAGGAAACCTTGGTCCAGGAGAGTGGTGAAAAATGTCCGTCCATGTGCTGAAATGTATATGTTTGAGATGCTCCCCGTTGGTTTTAAAGGGAGCCGATTTCACTACTGGACATAATTTTATGTTGCAGTGGGCTTAAGCAAATGGAAGAGAGCCGGAATGCATTTTGGAGTTTTGACAACACAAACCCTGGGTTCCATGATCAGGACAACCAGGAGAAAAGCAAGAACTTTATGGTTTCATATTTTTCAGGTTTTCAGGATAACCACTGACTTCCATTTGCTGAAATGAATATTTGTTCTTTTCTCTTGGTTTTCTCTTGGGGACTTTATTTCGTTGGACACATTCTCTCTGATGTTTTTTCCGGCCGGGGGGAAAAACAAAAACAAGCGATTGGAAGACGAGAAGCGGAGTCATTGCCCTTGCGCTAGGAGCCCACCCTAAATATGAGGGCCTTTAACCTCCAAAGGCCTCAAATAATGAGGTCTTGGGCTTCTAGGGTGGGGTTTTTGAGTCATTTGCCCTTCGGGACCGTTTTTTTTTGGTTTCGGGACCCGTCCGGCTGGGACATCCAGCCACTTGCCTGGACTTGAGTGGATAATGTTGACCCTGGATTAGTAAACCCCGGTTTATTAATCCGGCATCAACATTAAGCCTTCGATCCAGTCTCCTTTGCTAGGTGCCCCAGGATGGTGCCCAGGATCGTACCGTTTCTTTTTTTGGGGAGGGTATCCCAGTGCTCCCAGTGCTCCCAGGCAAGTATCCAGTGGATCCCAGGCAAACCCATTTGGTGGGTCTCCAGCTATGTTCCTTCTGGACTTTAAAGGGTTGGCTTGCCCTCGGTTACCTACCTAGGTCCCCCAGGATCGTGCCCTTTTACCCCCTTTTTTGGTTGGGAGGGTCCCACTACTAAAATCGACTATATAACATCTCTTCTGGAGGACCTAGTCGAGGTAAGAACTCTGGTTACCTAATATAGTGGCTTGCCTGGAAGCACTGTGGCAGGTGGCTTTTGGATGTATCCAGAACCCGGAACCCTGTTGCCAGGGACATACGGAAGTGCTTTGGTTCACAATCCCCGAAGGACGATGTTGACACTTGGCTTCCTAGTTGTCCTTTTTGTTCACTGGTTGCCCTTGGCTAGATATATGTCTTTGTCGTTTTTCTATTGCCTCTCTCCTGGTTTGCTACTGGTTGCTTTACTACCATTTGCCCTTCAAACGCCAGCTTCCTAGTGGTTTTCCGCTGCTTTCCTATGGCTTCCCATTGATAAACGGTTGATGTCCTGTTGGCTTCCAAATTGAACCTATTGGCTTTCCGCTGGTTTCCTATTAGCTTTCCTCACCGAGAACTTTCGTTGCAACGTCAGCCCTTGCCCTTTTGGGGGAGAACACGATGTGAGTCAATAGTTAGAACCGAACTGAAACACCTTTCAGAGCCAGTGGAACCACCAAATCACAGTGGCACCGGACAAATGTATCCCCGAACTTCGATGTGTAGCATTTCGGATCCCGAATTGAGAAAAAAAAAAAAGATCACACCCACTCTCCTGCTGACACATAAGATATGAACTGTGTCATGTTCTGAGAAAATCAGGGGTGATCCTTCTTCGTTTGGGTCCTTAGGGAGACTCACAGGAGACTCCAGCCATGTTTTGAGCCAAGCTCACCCCGCAACCAACGGTTGACCCACCGACTGCTCAGACCGCCGGACGCTCGATCGCTCAATTGCTCGACGCAAAGGTGCAGTACACCCCCGTAACCTCCAAATACCAACTTTTATCAGGGTATTTTTTGGACAACCTGGGTTTCCATGGTAAATACCGATCCATTTTTGAGTAGAGGGTCGACACATCATACCAACTGAAAAAGGGCATCGGGTATTTGGAGTAGGGAGCACTGACAAAAAGGAGAGGAGGGTAGGGGAGCCCTAAGAATGAAGGTATTGGGTGGTTACGGGGTTTGGTTCTGGTCAGGGGAACCCTGAAAAAAGGCATTTGGAGTCTCCATAACCCTTAAAAAATGGTTGGTCATGACCCAAAATCATGGTTGGGGTATTTGGAGGTGCAGTACAGCTGGTACCCGGACATGGCCTACGACGGCGGGAAGTCCGAGGGCGGCACCCTCGAGAAAGGCGAGAAAAGCCGCCGCGGTTTGCGCCGCGCGCCGCGCGCCCGCGCGGTTTTGGTCCCTCAGTTGTTCAGTGGCTCGATACACTTCTAGGTCCCCCAGGATCGTGCCCTTTTACCGTTTCTGTTTTGGTTGGGAGGGCTCCCCTACTAAAATAGACTACAGAAGAAAGGGTACCCCTTATAACCTCTATACTGGAGGACCTAGACTTAAACGCAAGGGTTCCCTTTTTAGGGTAGACTCACCGGGTTTAAGTCATTGTGGGAGGCAAAACATGGAGCCATGTTCAAACTCAGTTGTTCAGTGGCACCGATTCTCCTCTTTTTTTGGTGGCCACTAAAAATGGTCCAAGCCCCAAAAAGGTTGCCCTTCTTCCCAGGGTCACTGAACAACTGAGGTCCTGGACTCTCCATGAGCCTTAGAATATTTTTGGCCATGTACTGAAAATAAGGGGGACATGACCCTTTGTTTCCAAGGGTCATGGGTAGACCAGGTGGTTGTTGTTTTACCCGCGGAAAGTTCGTCTTGTTCGAAAGATGTGGCTCCTTTTGGTTTAAGTGGTTGGTGCTCAAAAGGAAGTATAGTTGAAATACCCTGCAACAAGTCCGTGTTTTTCTTCTTTGAGGCTCCGTACCGTTTTTGGTACCCGTTTTGAAATTGGTTTCAATTGGAAAACCCAAAGGATCACCGACATCCAGTGAAAGGATCCAACCTGCAAAACAGGCAAGTCACCTTGCTTTGGGTAAATGACCCCTTGACTGGGAAATGAGAAATGGAATGAACCGTGTTTGGGGATTCCCGAACACAGGAAACCATCAGTGTTGGATGGTGTTTTGGGGGTCATTCCATTTCTCATTGCCTGCTGAGCACCAGCAACAGGTAAGCTCCTAAGGGTGCAGAACTTGCGCTATGACTTCCCAGCCATCCCCTTAGGTTTTAGGTGTTTATGGTTTAGTGGTTGGGTTTCCGGGTTGAACCCACAAGTTAGAGTTAAACATTATGAGCAGGGTTCAGAAAACGGACAGCCCAGGGTTCAAAATCAATCCGCACGATTCTTATGGATATGGATTCGTCAGGGCCAGATGAGTTTCCGGGGTCACAACTCGATTCAGGTAGCGCCATGTGTTCCTTCTTTGTTTGTTGGGTTCCGGGAAATCAAGCAACATAAGCAACAAATCATGAGCCAGGCCCCTCCACACTCCTCCAAGCAAATATTTTGTATGACATGTTCCTTGTATTTTCAGGCTCTCGCAACAAGCAACAAGCGATACCCAGTGCTAGTAGTCAAGCCACTAGTCACCAGGCTTTCTTACCTCCAGATTTTACCATGGATTTCCCCGATCTAGGGCTATGCAGGTAACTGGAAGCGCTGGGACAGTGTCTACCCCCAGTAGTGCCCTTTCTCTCCCCTTTTTTTGGTTGGCAGGGTTGCCCGTGTCTAAAATAGACTACAGCAAAAGTGGTTTCCCCTAAACCCTGACCTCCAAAACTGGAGGACCTAGGAAAGGTCCTTTGAACATGAACTCCAAGCAAGGTTCCCGGCGCTTCCTCCCGGGCTTCCCTAGCCCCATTATTTCACCATAATCAAAGTCACCCCCTAAGTGGTGGGGGAAAGGGAAACAACCGATTCCATTTGCTGACTTTGATAACCCCCAGAAACAGTCAAAATCATGACCCCAGTGTGTGTGTGTGTGTTATTCCAGAAACTTTGGTGTTCCAACTTGGTTGCCCTTTCAACCAACCCGAAGAAACAACTCATGACCGCTTCCCTTTTTCCGGCTCCGCTCGTTTCTGTTTTCCCCGGACTTCGGACTTCGGACTTCGCTTCGGGCTGACTTCGGTGAGGCGTCATCGGGCGGGTGGGCACTTTGGCGATGAAGGCAGCCTCGGTGCCCTGCGTGAAGCAGATCGCGTCCTGCAGCTGGGCACGCGGAGAGAGAGCTCTGACTCGAGCCACGTGCTCAAAACCGAAACCCGGGTAGATGACAGTTAGTACGGAACAATCCCCTTGCCATAAATGGCTGCGGAGATCCGCCTTCCTGGTCGACCATTGTAGTACCAGGTTTTGATTGCGACTCACTTGACCTTCCATTTGCTGAAATGAGTATTTGTTACTTTTCCCTGTTGGTTTTAAAGGGAACGTATGACTACTGGACATATTTTGTGTTTTTTTCCAGGGAGCGCAAAAGCAAATGGAAGTGACGCGAGCTCACCGAGAATTGTCAAATCCCAAGGTTTTGGACATATTGTAAACTTTGCAGGGGGGTGAGTTTGGGCAAAGACATTGATGGCATGATTGTGTCCAAAGTGGTGCGAGATGTTGATGTTGTCAATCCACAGGTGTCCTTTTGATTCGTTCGTTTGGTTCGACATGGATGGGTTCTGGTTTAGATAGGTTTGTTCCATTTCTCTTATCGCCATCTAAAGGACACGGTCTATGGCTGGCAAGTTGGATGCGCCTGGAGTCTCTGAGTCTGGTCCCATGGGGTCATTTTAAAGAGGGTCAGACTCGGAGACGCTAGGAACCCACCAATTTGGGCGTGTCTTTCTGAAGCTTGGACCAACAAAACGTAACCCACAAAAAAGTCAGAAGATGACTCTGGGAACCCGCAAAAAGAGTTGATTTGGTTCAAGGTACCCCCACAAAGCATTTGGCTTCTCCTTTTGGTTGTCCTTCAACAGATGGGGCATTTGCCGGAGAAAAGACTTAGGTCTTGACCCCAGTTTGGATATGATTTGAGGGTCAGAAGGCAGCTCGAGGTGTGTGTTCTGATTTGAGAAGGTAAACCAACAGGTGTAAGTTGTGTGGGGCTGTGTGTGTGTGTGTGCGTGTGTGTGTGTGTGTTTTGTGGAGTTGCTACCATTTTTAGACTTGTTCAAAGGGACACCAAAAGGACATCTGCCATTTTAGGGCTTCATATCCTATTTTGAGATCCATTGTATTCGAGGGAAAGAGGGGGCCCGGGCTTTGCCGCGATTTCATGATATTGATGGACAAAGTCCACTCGGGTGCCGAGGCAAACCACAAGTACAGTCGAAGCCAATTTTTGGGGTCTGAATTTAACAAAAAGAGAGGCACAACTTGGATGTGTTTGTTGAGTGGCGAGCCTAAAGAGGTACTTGGTGCTTAGGGAAGCGAAACGGTTAAATGGTTGGTGCGGGTTGGTAAGAGGTGGAAAGTTATAGTTAGATCATTTGGAGCTTACGTAAGTCGTTACATGATCTTAAAGGGGCCTAACCACCAACTCAACATGGACACCCTTAAACATGGGCTATTGCCCAAAATGATGGTGAAATCCAACTTTTTTAGGTGTAGTTCAAAGGTTTGATTCCCCATTCTCTTCACCCATCGTTCTGTTTGGAAACCACCCTTTTTCCAGGGTTTTGGCCCGTTCTTCGAAGATAATGATGCCTAAAGAGAATGGGGAGGGTACAGCTAGAGTAGTTTGAGGGTCCAGGAACTCCAAACGCCCGGCCAGTCGAGGCAATGCCGGGGACGACAACGCCTGCACCACCGCCTACGCGCTGTGCAACTACGGGGAGCTGATCCCGTACCAGCTGACAGGCCGGGGGGTTTTGGGGAGGGGGGGAGGGGTTGGGGGGGGTCACCAATCATAGCTAGGTCCCCCAGCTAAATGCCCAACCTCTCGCCCCTTTTTTTGGTTGGGAGGGTTCCCTACTAAAATGGACTACAGAAAAAAGGGGTACCCTTATTCTAACCTCTCCACTGGAGGACCTAGTTTTGGGTTGCTTTCGCCCCTTCTTGAGTTGGACTTTTGAGGGTTTTGGGTCCAATTTTGGGCACCTGCGGTTGAGTAGCTGAATTGAAGAAACCCTTCCGAGGGCTCGGAAAGAAAGCCGCCTTCAGGGGAAGTTGCTTTAAATGAATTCTACCGGTGTGTGTGTGTGTGTTCCCTGAAGACGACTGAGTTAAGGCAACACTGCCGGGGCGTTTTGAAGTTGTGTATCCTTTGCTCTGGGAAGTTCTCGGCATCAAACGCAGGCTGACGTCAGGCAAACCGCCCGTCTTTCTTTCTGTCGATCTTTCATTCGTGTTGTTTTGTGTTTTATTTTGTTTTGTACTTATGTTTGTCTTTATGTATTGTGTTATTTATTTCTTTATTTCTTTCTTTCTTTCTTTCTTTTTTTCTTTCTTGCTTTCTTTCTTTCTGTACTTATGTTTGTCTTTCTGATTTGTTTTGTTTCTCCTGTCGGTTTGTCTGTCTTTCTTGCTTGCTTGCTTTCTTTATTTATTTCGTTATTTATTTCTTTTGTTTCTTTCTTTGCTGGCGCAGCACTTTTGAGATGTGGCTGAGTGAAACACGTAGCCTCAAAACATGGCATGCTAGCAATGTTCGGCCAGCAACATGCAAGATGACCGACTTCCAAGCGTGCTTCACGATGGACAGCCGCAATTTACAAACTAGGCTGACTCAGATTGCTGCTGTTTTGCGCGCGTGACTTCCGCCGTCCATGGCTTTGTTGAGTTAGGCATGTGGGGTTCCCCGGCCCTTTTCTTTCTTTCTTTATTTCTTTCTTCATTCCTTCCTTTCTTGCTCTCTTTCTTTCTTTCTTTCTTTGAGTCTTTCTTTCTTTCTTTCTTTCTTTCTTTCTTTGTTTCCGTTTTTGTGTGCGTCTTGGGGGGGCTTGCTTGCTCGCTCGCGCCCTTGCTTGCTTTGCTTTGCTTTGCTTTGCTTTGCTGGCTAGAATTGGCATGGCTTGGCTTGGCTGGGCTTGGCTTGCCTGCCTGTTTTGGTTTCAATGGTCGTTGTGGCTGGAGGGGGATGGCCCTTTGTTCACATGTGAAAACGGTAGTTGTCTGATGTTGCTCTGAGGCTTTAGAGGATGATCCAGAGCAGTTGACGACATGCGTTTGGTGTTGACATGGTGGGCCTCGCAAGTAGAAGTGCACCATCTGCATTTGGGATCTGTCAACTTGAGCCCTCGCATTCATCACGTCACCTCTGTCACTCATGAAAAAGACACGGAAATAGGGGGGCAGGGGAATGCCTGAATTTCCTCCCAAAGTGGGGCAGGGTTGCGGGGTTAAGGGGTTTATCCCCATTGCTGTGATACGAGGGCATCTCCCGCCTTATATGGGGGTTAGTGTTTGGGAAGCTCTTTTTGTAACTTATCACAGTGGATTCCATTTCAACCACAGCCCTGCGCAAAACCGGTCGGACAGGGCACAACCCCTACGACATGCGCATCAAGTGCGAGAAACCGCCTTTGTGCTACGACTTCGGCTCGGTGGAGACGTGCCCTGGCAGTATGCCAAAGCTCCAACGACTAGGCAGCGGGCCTTCCCTGGAAGGTATATTGGAAATCCTTCTTGGTTGGTTTTAAGAGCACAATTATATAACAGGAAAGCCACCATTTTGGGGCCATATTCGGATGTGTCCTTTTTAGTCCCCGAGCTGGTGGGTCTCCTTTTGGTACCAACTCAGAAGACGAGCCATCCATTTGCGGGGCCAGGGCCTCGCCCCCCCCCAGAAATAGAACCACGGGTCGGCGGTGATGATGTCACTGCCCCCACCAGGCCATATGTTTCGCCGATTTGTTCGTTCGCAAAGAAGGTTGGGTTTGGATGTATCATATGCATCATTTATGGAACTCATGTTGTTTGCCATAATTATGCCATTCTTGCAAACCTTCGTGCTCAGCCGTTCATCCTGCTCATTATGATTCAATATCAAAGGCACATTTGATTAAAATGAAAAAGGCAATCGATCACACAAAGAACGCGGGTGGAGTGTCATTATTTGATGAAGCGGAAGACGACTGAAACTGAATTTGATTTTGGTCGCCGTTTCGCTCAGGTACCTGAACGACCCCAACACGCAGAAGCAGCTGGGGGTGAACAAGAAGTGGGGCAGCTGCAACCGCATTGCGACTCCGCTTCGATTATTCCTGCACGGGTTGTAATAAACGGGTTCCAGCTTGCGCAACATGATTTTCATGTGTGTGTACAGCATTCTGGAAAGCATTTGTTGGGCACCATTTGGGTCACCCAAGTGTTGATTTCGTTATGGTTTTATCAAGGGACTTTTCCCGGTAAAACCCTTTTGGTCCACCCAATCCATTCTGGGGACCCACAGCCAAAAGAGTAGAATGGAGCTCAATAATTGTTCGGGTTCTGTCCTGTTGCTCCTTTTTTTGCCCAGAGATGACCAAACAAAGCGAGTAGAAATTGGCTCTGTGTCCTGTTGTTTCCTTTGAAGAAGCTTCCGGTACACCCATGTCCTATACCTTTTTAAAACACACAGTTGCTAACCGCGGTCTCAACACGGTTGCCCAAGGCGCTTGTTTCTATGAGTAACACAGGTATATACGTCAACCCCTCGTCAGGAGAGCTCTAATTTTCAACAACCATGAGACCTCAGGGGAAACAGCCACCACAAATCTCCATAACCCTCCAAAAAGGGGTAATCTGCCCAACAATCAGGGTTGACCCCCTGTTTTAAGGGTCGCGACCCTCAACATCCAGGGTCAACGCCGAAATTTCGGTCTCATGACTTAGCCCTTTTGGGTTGTGCAAACACCAGCCCATGGGTTTCAATTCAGGTTCTCTTCTGCACGGAATGGCCAGCGAATTCGGCGCGTGCGGTGCTGTTTTTTGGTACACCCTTAAACCAAACATGGGTTGCCTTTTTTCGGGGACCCCGCTCAACAGGAAAAAACACGTGGTAGTGGTTTCGAAAACACGGGGTATCTGGACCCTCCAACTGCCCATAAAGAAGGGATTTCACCCCATATGTTTTTCGGGCCATAACCCATTTGTTAAGGGAATTTTCAGGGTCCAGGTACTCTCAAAAAGAAAGCACACCCAGGTGGAACATGAAAGAGGCTCCCTAGAAGACGCTGTGGGGGCCCCTTTTATGTATATATATATATATAATATTTTTTGCTACAACACCAAGGGTTGTGAAGGTACCCCTTGTATAGGCCCGTTGTAGAGCCCCAATGCGTGGTCCCCAGCTGCTTATTTCCCTTCAATGTTGCAAGCATTTGGCCAAGCCTTGAATATGATTCCTTAGTGGCTTTCCACTCTCCCCAAACTGCTACTTCCCAGGGAATGAGGTTTGCTCACAATGAGCAAGCCATGGATCGAACATTGGCATTGTGCCTTTTCGTGAATCCCTTTGAGACCAAGTCTTTAGGATTGGATGTACCAGGCAGACTTGAAAAAGATCAGGGAGTTCACTGCTATCTATTTCCGTGTCTTTTTTTCTGCGGACCCCAAAATGGTGTCCTTTTCGTTTCCCTTTCAATCCACCAAAGGGAAGCCTCAAAAAAAGACGCCGGAAAATCACAACTATGATTTTGGGTATACTCAAGCCTTAGAGGAATAGTCAGGCTTTGTTTCCCTTGCGAAGAAGGGCCTGGTCTTGACAGGGAATATGATACGATGACGCCGGGATGACCCTGGGGTCGCTATGTTTTCCCCAAATGCATGTACTCCTACGTAAGGCCCATACAGGGGCTAGCATACCCCCACCGCTACACGCCTGGGGAGTGATAGGCTGTAAGCCTGCAGGACTGGTCGGTTTTAAAAAGGGGGTTGCGTGCAAACCGACACTGATCGAGCTAGTAGAATCGAACGTCAATGCTTTGGTGCATTTTGCTTGGATGTTAGGACTTTAACTTTTTGCCAACTAATGGGTTTTCCATTGGACCACTACAAGTTAAGCTTTTACCAGGGGAGCAGAAAGCAACCGAGTTTTCTTAGAGCGTCACCTTCGTGGACGGGTAACGGCGGCCATTCAATTATACGAGCCCAAATGGGTCTGTCTCTTTTGGAGCTGGTGCACCTTTTTTGATGGAGAAGGGAAACCGAAAGGAAGACACTCAGGTCCATGTTCCGAAGAAAAAAACAAGCAAAACAAAAAAGGAAAGGAACAAAGAAGCCGCGACGAGAGGTGAATTTGGCCTTGAATTAAGCAGCGACGAGAGGTGAATTTGGCCTTCCAGCACGACTGGATGAAGAACTACCAGAACAAGATCCCGGACTTGCTGTCCGCTGGCCTCCGGGTGCTCATCTACGCCGGTGATGTGGACCCGTGGCGGAATATCGACGACTTTTGTTTTTTCTTTTCTCGGAAGGGTGCGAGAAGAAGCCCTGCCAACGTGTCTGGTTGGTTTTCCTCATTTGTTTGCATTTTGTTTTATGTTTTTTCGTTGGAACGACCTGCATTTTCTTGAACATTTGTTGACCGGTTTGTTGTTTTGGAACCCGGTCCATACATTTGTTTGAAAGAACATTTTTTAGGTTCCCCCGGCTTTTAAGGGGAATGTTTTTGTCCAGGGGACTTATGCAACTAGAGGGTTTTTGGGATACCCTTAAAGGAAGCCACAAGGAATGGGTCATAGGGGGTCATTTGCTCATTAGGGAGAATCAGCCAGTTCAAACATCTTCAGACCACTATTCTTACGATTCAACTGCTTGTTCAAACATGTATGGGAGTGCTGCTTGTTGAGTTGGTATCCTTTTCCAGGAACCATATTGGATAGACTGTCGGTGTTTTGCTGGTCTCTATCACGTGATTGGGCTCTTTTTCCTTTAAACATCCCAAAGGAAACTCAAACAAGTCTTCAACCTGGGCCAAGATGTGATGTTCAAAAGCAGCTTTAACTGGGACCTTTGAAGTTATGTCACGTTCAGGGGTTCATCCATTTCCCATTAAAGGCAATCTCCAAAAGTGACAAGTGTCGTCACGACTTCTTTGGCATTGCCTCGACAAGACTCTTTTCCTATGCGGGGTCTCGACAAGTGGCAGTTTCAAGAGACACCAATAGAAACCACCAGTCAATTGCAACGTTTAAAGGGGAACTCCAGTCACCCCTGACACTGTTGTATTTTGGAGTCAGGGAGTCAGGGCTCCAATATCCCTTTTTCTGAAACCCAGTCAATTGCAACCTTAAGTGGAAAGTCAAGGGCACCTGTCAGGACGCCCAAAAAATCCAGGGGCTGAACAATTATGTTTGCCTCAGCAGCTGAAAGATATGAGGTCTTTGCGGTTTGGACAGCTTGGGGAAGGTTCCGGAATTTCAGGGGGGCATATCACCTGGGCCTATTTTGCCTCCATGGTCATGACTCCATTGGGCGTTGTGGTCCTCAACTCCCCATGCTAACTATTCAGTCCCCTTGTTTATCCCCACTTCTGTGATACTTTTGGGAATCTCCCCCTTCAAATGGCAGGTTTGGTTTTGGGAAGCCCTTCTTGCAACGCTTACCTCTTAAAAACACAACTTTTCAACTTTTTGGGTAACATGGGCTATATGTCTGTAAAAGATTAACTTCCCCAGGGCTTGGAGTTTTAAGGGGTAAGAACGTATCACAGATTCGTGGACTCCATTTCAACACACAGCCCTCACGATTCGTAAAGGTCAGCAAATCGAAGAGCCAAGTCCCCTACCCCCTACTCCAAATACCCGGCCTTTTTCTAGGGTATGATTCGTCGACCCCCTACTAAAAAAGGGAAGGAGGTATTTACCATGTAAACCCGTTTTTTTTTTCTCGCTCAAAAAAACAAATGCCAACCTGGCACCCCGTATGGCTGTTTTTTTTTCGGTCAGACTCCCGTATTTGGCCGTATTTGCCCGTATGGCCATGATTTTTCGGTCATTTGCGTAAATCACCCGTATGAAACCCATATTTTTTCGACATGTTGTTGAAAAAAATCCGTATGGCCATTTTTTTCGGTCAAAAGCGTATGACCTAAAAAAAACAGCCATATGGGGTCCCAGGAACTACTTAAAGCCTGGGGTAAATAAGGAGGTTCCCGGGGGGGTATTTGGAGACTCAGGACTACATCTGCAACTGGCTGGGCAACAAGAAGTGGGCCTTGGCCATGGATTGGCCCCACAAGGAGCGATTCCGAGCCATCGGAGTGCTGGGGTCACCCATTTCTCGGATATCTCGACATTCGGATTTCGGATTTTGTTTTTCAGATTTTCAGGGGGGTCATGTATGTTGACCCGATGTTTGTTGGAGTTTCAGGGGGGTCAACATGACCCGCACTTGGACCCCATTTTTCAGTTGTTGTCTTTTGCTCCGAGAGAAACACTGGGTGATAGGATGGTTTAGGTCGGTGCACGAACATGTCAAACACGACGAGATTTTCCGAAGCTCCGGCCGCCGGCTCCGCCGCTTTCAGCTGAAAACGTCTGGCCCAGGTCTGGGCCGTCTAAGTGGTTCGGGGCAGCTTGCAGGGATAGACAGATTGCTTACGTGATTTCCCGGGGTACCATCCCTGAAAAAAAGACCTCGAGGAAAAACTACCCCCTACTCCAAATACCCACTTTTTCTAGGGTTTGTTGGGAAAAACCTGGGTTTCCAGGGTAAATACCTCCTTTTTTAGTAGAGGGTCGACATGATACCCTAAAATGCCCAGGGCGAACAGCGATAGTTTTTTTGTTTCTTGGAAAAGCAGGATGGTTGAAAACCGTGTTGCCCAGAGACACGCTGCTTTCTCATTTTGTTTTTGGAAGGGTTCCCGTTTAAACTCAACCCATGGAAATCCACTGGGAGTTTCAGAGAAAAGAATGGCCAAGGAATCAACCCCTACCCCTGTACCGATCCTAGGTCCCCCACTAGTGCCATTTTCCCGTTTCTTTTTTGGGGGGAGGCTTCCCCTACTAAAATAGACAAAAAAGACAAACATCGGGTACCAAAATTATTCTAAGCTCCAAAACTGGAGGACCTAGCTATAAACTCCCCTCTATGGTTTCTTCAAGGGAATCCCTGGCTTATTTCCAACACCCTGGATCATTCCCTATTGATCCGTTCTTCGCATAATTTTACCTCACAGAAGGCCTTTGGCATTTGTAGGTTACGGTTCCCAACTGGGCGGCGTCCTTGGATGCCTTTTTCCAAAGAATATGACCTGGAGTCTCCATGACTTCCCGACCACTTCGGTCTTGTTCGCTTTCGATCCATCGCTGGGTTTGGGGGATCAACACTAGGTCCCCCAGCGATCGGTGCCCTTTCTCACCCCTTTTTTGCTTGGGAGATTCGGTTCCCCAACTAAAATAGACTACTTGGAGTCTCCCCAAGGACCCGAAATAAAAAACGCTTGGTCATGACCCCTAGTTTTGGGTCGAGTCATGACCAACCATTTTAATTTCGGGTCCTTAGGGAGACTCCAGGCTGAAAGAAGGCCTTTGGCACTTGGAAATCACGAAACCCATCGGTTTTTCCACAGACTATCACCTAAAAGAAGGCCGGGTATTTAGACCTGGAGTCTCCTTCTGACCCTTAAAAATGCTTGGTGACCCAAAATAACCTGGACCCCCAAAAGACCCCTTTTTATTGCCTTTGACCCAGAAAAAAGCGGTACAAAGCCAGAAAAGGCCTTTTGGGGGTCCAGGAATGGTTGGTCATGGACCCATTCTAAATTTCGGGTCCTTAGGGCGACTCTAGGGAGGTTACGGTCCAAAGCAACGGGCGGTTGCCGCCACCGCCACTTGCGTTCGTCGGCTGCGGTCAGGACGCCTTCAATGCGGCAGAGGACAAGGCACAATCGATCCCCGAAGTCTCGGTCTGGTTGGCAACATATGATATAAACAAATACCGACTTTGTTTGTTTAAAGGGGCTTTGTTGTTTGAGTTTTTGCAAAGCCTGTTTTTTTGGGCATGTGTTGGAAAACCTGTTTTTTTTAGGGCACGGGCAACATGTGTGCTATGAGAGCTGTCTGCGCCATCTTTGAGATTTCTACATAGGAGCTTTCTGTGCTACCAAAATACCAACTCTGTTTTTTTAGTGGGCATGTTTTGGAAAACCAATCGGTGTTTCATACCAACTTTCTTTTGCCGGCATGTTTTGGAAAGCCGGTTTCGGTTTTTCAGGGTAAATACCGATCCCTTTTTTAGTAGAGGGTCGACATCATACCCTAGAAAAAAGCGGGTATTGGGTGTAAGGGGTAGGAGAACGCGGCTGGAACCCCAAATCTTCCATTTGCTGAAATGAATAAATTTGCATTTTTCCCCTTGTTGGTTTGGAAGGCAATCGATTTCACTACTGGAATGCTGTTCTCATATTTCCCAGGGTGCGAAAAAGCAACTGGAGGAAGTTTTGTTTTTTTAGGTTCCTCGTTTTCAAGGGTACCCTCCAAGACACACATACACACAAGCCATGTGGCGGAATGGAATTTTGAGAGTTAGAACCTTCTGAAAAGTGCCCGGACCCCCAAAGGACCCCTTTTTTCTGCCTTTGTACCCTTTTTTTTGGGTCAAAGGCAGAACAAAGGGGTCCTTTGGGGGTCCAGGTGGTTGTGCGACATGTCCAAAGGGCTGATTAAACATCATGCTCAGTATGACTCAGTTGAGCCCAGTTGGGGTTAGTCAAACAAGAGTGAGCAAAGCATGTTTATGCAGGGAAGCCGGACCCCCCAAAAAACAAATAACAAAGGAGAACTAAAAAAAACACCCCCCCCCCCCGAGAAAAAAAGGAGAACTAAAACAACGACCCCCCCCAAAAAAAAATGAAAGAAAGAAAGAAGACGATAACTAAAAAAAACGACCCCCCCCCAACCAAAAAAACAAAACTGAATCGGTTTCCTCCCTTGTGCAAAAGAGAAGCGAAAGGCCTCTCCGTCAGTTAACAGGCAGCTCTTCAGGTTAATTGGGGAGTGTGCGCCGAATCGAATTACGGCTTCGGGTTGTGGTTGTAAGTTGTAAGGAAAACAACGAAGCCGAGCTTGGTTGGTCAGTTGACTGTAAGCCTGAACATCTCGCAGAGTCCAATTCCTGGTGTCACTATACAGTTTCTGGGACACATCCATTTGAATCAAGCTCCATGCTTTGTTAGACGCTCAGGCAAACCCTTTGTTTGAAGAGGGTCCGGCCCTGGTTTGAGATGTCTGATGTGTTTTCGGATGGACACCCCAAAAGGGTTGCAATTTGTTTTGGTACACAGTTTTCTGTTTTTGGTCACTCGGCGACTTAGCTATGAATCTCAAGCGGGAGTCTCCTACAAAATGGTTGGACATATTTCCCCTCCGAAATGATGTCCACCTAAGGGCCACTGGTCTACTCCCTTTTCCTTTTTGGAACCTCATGATGGATTCCAGCAAATTGCTCAAAACCCCTGCAACATTCAGGATACAAGGGGCAATCTCATGACTTGTTTACCTACAACCATGACATGCGCCTTGTGTCCGAGAACCCCATAATGATTTTGGACCTCGGCACTCGGGTTTGGCGCGTCGTTTCCGGCCGCCTGCTTGGATGTTCAATGCGCCAAGTGAAGTGGTGATCGCCACCTGGGTTGTAACCCGTTACTGACAGGGTTAAGTCCACTCCTACCCCCTACTCCAAATACCCACTTCTTTTGGGGTATTTTTGGGAAAACCTGGTTTTCCATGGAGAATACCTCCTTTTTTTTAGTAGAGGTTGACATCATACCCTAAAGCAAGATGGTATTTGGAGTATAGGGGGTACAAGTGGGTTGTTTCACCCAGGTTGCCGCTTACAACTGAAGTCAGCGAGTCGAACACCCAAGGATTGAATCCGGAGACCCACTTTTTTTAGGGTATCATATACCCTTTTCTTAGAAAGGGATCGGTATTTACCCGTTACCCAGGCTTTTGCCGAAAAAATACCAACTAAAAAACGTGGGTATTTGGAGGTTACGGGGGTAGTTCATGTTTAGGGATTCCTCCGGGCGCTTGCCCGAACCCCCAGAAAACGATAGTCTCTTGCATTTGCTGTTTCACCCTCGGCAAAAGCTGTAACATAATTCCAGTAGTGACATCGATTCCCTTCAAAACCACCTGGAACCCCCCCCAAAAAAATATATCTTTTCTGGCTTTGTACCACTTTTTTTCTGGGTCAAAGGCAACAAAAAGGGACCGGTCGTTTGGGGGTCTTTTGGGAACAAGCGGCAGCAACAAACAGCACTCAGCGGTGGGAATATTTCTCAGTGCCAAGGGCAACACGTTGCTCCCATTTGCTTAAGAACATGCTTCTAGGTCCCCCAGTAGGTGCCCTTCTACCCCTTTTTTTTGGGGAGGGCTCCCCTGCTAAAAAAAGACTACCGACAAAAGGGTACCCTGATTATAACCTCTCTACTGGAGGACCTAGACATGCTTAGTTTTCCCTCTTGGCTTTAAAGGGAATCGAGTTTGCTGCTGGACATGTTTTTCATTCTCCTGGAGTCTCCATGACCCTTCAAACATGGGTCCATGACCCCATTATTTTGGGTAACGACCAACCATTTTTTAAGGGTCAGGGAGACTCCAGTCTCTTTTTTTTCAAGCGACGAGAAAGCGACTGGAATGATTTTTGCTGGTGCTCAGCAGGGAATGACCGTTCCGGCTGTCCGGAATGATCCTGGGGATTACAGGAAGCCACCAGTTGGATGGTTTATGGGAGTCATTGCTTCGTTACCTACAGGTTGAAAAAGCAAATGGAGGAAGTTAGTAGAGGGTCGACATCATACCCCCAAAAACAGAGGGTATTTGGAGGTTACGGGGGTAGTTTATCTTTTAAAGTTCCTCGGTTTCAGTTCCTCAGTTGAACCATCTGCTTTCATAGGGGCCATCCCCTATTGACACGGTTTTAAGCAAATGGAAGTATATAAACCGTCCCCTTTAAGGGAATCCCCAACACCGGCTCATTCCCAAACCCCGAACAATCAGGTTTTTCATGAAATGGAAGTGAGGGGTCCACCTTTTTGACAACCAGGTACCTGGAGTCTCCTTCTGACCCTTCAAAAATGGTTGGTCCTTACCCAAAATCATGGAAAGGGTCATGGGATCCCCATTTTTCTTTCGGGTCCTTAGGGAGACTCCAGGTAGACTTCAACTCCAGGTGGCGCTCCGAGCGTTTCACTCTCGCCCGAGTCGCCCGCGCCTCGCTCGCTCGCTCGGCGGGTTCGGCCCGGCGGCTTCGAGGCCTACACGGTGGAGGGCAAGGCCGCGGGGCGGCTGCGCTCGGCGGAGGGCTTTCACTTCATGCAGGCGGTCTGGCTGGGCGGTTGGGGCTGGTCGTGGCTGGTCATGGCTGGGTCTTTTCAAAACCAGGGGTGTCTGACTTCGAAAAGGCGGTGTCTGGGTGTCTGTCGTTTTTGTTCTTTGTTTTTTCTTTTTTTAAATACTCCCCTAACAGCTGAAAGGTCGCGTTTTTTTTTCTTCTTCTTTTTTTTTCTAGGTTCCCCAGCGATCGGTGCCCTTTCTCACTCCTTTTTTGGTTGGGAGGGTTCCCCTACAATAGACTACGGCAAAAAGGCTACCCTTATTCTCACCTCTTCACTGGAGGATCTAGTTTTTATTCCCCAACAGCTGAAAGCTTTGGGGTCTCAGCCCGGCCCTGAGGTAAGGTTCCACCGGGGTTTTAGCAAGGTTCCACGGCTGCGGGGTGGTGCGAGCACAAAAAAGAGCACCGCATGCTGTTGGGGATATCACCTGAGCTTATATATACATATATATATATATGATATATATATATATATTCTAGGTCCCTCAGCTCGGTGCCCTTTTGAACCCCTTTTTTGGTTGGGAGAGTTGGTTCCCTTCATAAAATAGACCAAAACGAGAAAAACCGGTGGGTACCCTTCCAGCCTCTCTGGACCTATTTCGGCTTCCCGAAAGCGGTCAGCTGGAAATGGACAGCTAGAGGACTGAAGGCGACGATGCCAACCCCCGATTCACCTCCAAATACGGTCCAAATACCCACATTTTTTAGTTGGCATTTTGGAAAAGCCAAACCAAAAACGAAAAACGAAAGTACCCCCTACTCCAATTCACCATGTTTTAAAGGGTATTTTAGGAAAAACCTGGGTTTCCATGGTATATACCGATCCCTTTTTTAGTAGAGGGGCGACATCATACCCTAAAAAAAGGCCGGGTATTTGGAGTAGGGGCAATCCGTTGAAGCCGTTTCAATCTGATGAGAAACGCAAGAACTTTTGGGACGAAAGGGAACTCAATGCAATGCTGAGATAAATGGATCTTCCAGGCCCATGCCTCTAGCTTTTTGTCAACTTCCATTTGCTGAAATAAATGTTATATATACCCCCTACTCCAAATATCCACTTTTTCTAGCTGGATGTCCATGGTAAATACCTCCTTTTTTAGTAGAGGGTCGACATCATACCCTAAAAAAGTGGGTATTTGGAGTCGGGTGTGTATATATATACATATTATTGAATCTTTGTTGGTTTTAACGGGAATCTATTTCACCACTAGAATGATGTTGCGATTTCTTTCCATAGGGCGAAAAACAAATGGAAGTTGGCTGGGCTTTTTCACGGTTGGACCGGTTTGGTTTCCCTGCAAACCCAGCAAAAAGGGGTATAACTGAAAACAGCTCAAAAGTCGGCAACAGTTGGAGCCCGGAGCCTCCATTTATCTTGGCGGCATTCGGAACCAGCGAATCGTGCGGTTCGGCTTTGGTTTAAACGAGAGGTGTTGAGTCGGTTTGGCGGGAGTTCCGAAATAAACCCACTAGATGTTTTTGTTTTTTTGAGCAGTTATTTTTTTTGTGTGTGTAGCAGGGGGTCTGAGGACAGCCCCGATGATCCGAATGAAACAAGAGGTCCATGACCCCTTTCTGTATTCGACCTATGACCTTGGGATTCGGACCCCCAAAATGGTAGCCGTCAGTATCCGCCAATGTGGATGGGTTCCTTGTGGTGTTCCTCTCTCAAACCACTCTCGAAGGGGGTACTTTGAAGCAAAGACACCCAGTGGCGCTTCGGAATATGTTTCATTTCTCCCTGTTCATCTTAAACATTGTTGTATAAGAGGTTTCTATGACTACTGGAAATATCCTCAAGTCCAGAAAACTTAAGCATGGGGCAGTTTTTTGCTTGCCTGCCAACTGATTCTTGTTACTCATTACATGCCCTTTAGCCATGCAGTCCTTAGCTTCATCTCTTCTGGGGGCACAAAGTTTTTGGCCGCCTGAGGAGGTAGTATCGGCAACCAAACGTGCTCAAGACTGGTTGGAAGAAAGATATGCTCTTGTACTCCTTACACGCAATACCCGATGTTTAAGAGCATGATGTCGAACTTCTGCTTTAACAAAAATAGTATTTGCCCTGAACAACCAGGTTTTCCAACAAATGCCTCAAACAGAAAGAGGGGGTATTTGGAGACGGGGGTAAATAAAAATTAGGATCTTGTGGCTCCTTGGATGTTTAACCGTTCAAGTATTTCATACAACTAGCAGGCGGGGGTAATTTTGGAGGCGCATCCGCTCTGTTCCTTGGTTCCCTGGATTCGCATCACTGAAAGCTACCCACTGGGTCCCATTAGGTAACCGTCCGATCTATGTTCCTTTTGGTGTCTATATCGGGTGGTTCCAGCCCCGAACAGTTACCTACAAAATCACCCCCTACACACAATACAAGCAGGGTATCATGTCAACCCATTACCAAACAAGGGATCCATATTTATTATAAAACCGATGGGTTTTTCGATTCAACAGCTACCAACTCAAAAAGAAGCGGCCGGGTATTTGGAGATTGCGAGGGACAGCTTTGCGTGGATCCGTGACACAACTCGAGCTCAAGGCTTTGGCCCTTGGCCTTGACTTGGGGTCTTTTTTTTGACCGTTTCTAGGGCTTATCAAAGTCAGAAACTGGCGTTGTTTCCCTTTAACCTAGTGGGGGTGACTGGTAAAATCATGAGGCCAGTTGGCTCCTTCCCCCCCCCTCTCCTTTAGCCCCCGCCCTGAAGCTTAAACGACTTCTCTTGCAGGGGCGAAGCTTCGCCTGCCCTTCACTCCGATCGAATCGGACGCTTGGCCAGGTGTACCAGGCCGGACACATGGTGCCAATGGACCAGCCCGCCGTGGCGCAGCAGATGCTCAACGACTTCCTGCAGGGCAAGTTCGACCAGAAGGCGCGGCGAGCCGCGCCGCTCGCCGCGCGCAACGCGAAGCGCGAAACGCGAAGCGCGTCGAGCCGCGCCGCTTGGCGCGGCTGGTGGCTTGGCGCTTGAGGGAACCAGCGAGTCGTGTGTGGGTTTTGGGTACCACCCAAGCCCAAAAGGAACCACACACAGGTTTCGATCTCCAGCTCTTTGCCGACGGGGAATCATTTGGCCCAGCTGTCGACTTCGGAAGAACAATCTGAAGGGCGACACCTTCCGACATTAGGTCCAACAATTGCGGGGAACATAAATCCGGCCGGTTAGTTACTTTGCTCTTTGACCCATGGTAACCTTTCACCTTTTTTTCGCGAAAATGTCCAACAGGATTGAATTCACCCGGAAAAAAATGCACCTTCTTCGAACTTTGTGGACAAAATGTCACTGTTAGTCTTTGCAAGCAGGCCAACCCTGATTTCAGCTGACGATGTTTACATTCTTCATAGGTTTGTTTTGCAGATGATTACACTTGGCGGTTCCCAGCCGTCCGGTTGGGTGTTTAGGTTTTTAGTTGGTTCAGGTCCCCATTTTCCCTTCCTCAGCACTTGTGGCTTACCCTGTTGGGACCGGGTCCCGGTTCCATGTTGGGGAGGGAGGGTAGTCCGCTAAAAGCTATTCAGGGGATCGCGGTTAGTAGAACGGGCCTCGTCGTTTTCACCAAAAAGAAACGCGGAGTTTTTGAAGGTCGGACCGAGCGCTTTCCGGATTTAACCAAAGCTGTCTTGGGCAGAGTGATGAAACAAACAACTGCGCCCGCCGAGGAAGTTGGCTTTCCGTTTGGTTTCTATGGGAGACAACTGTCTGGAGTCTCTCTTACCTCTTAAAAACACAACTGTTCAACTTGTTGGGGGTCACATGGGCTATATGTCTGTAAAAGATGAGAACTTCCCCAATCCTTGGAGTTTTAAGGGGTAAGCTCTATGACCCTTAAAACATGGTGTCATGACCCAGTTCTTATGTTAGGCAAACGCACCTCTCTTTTCTTGTCTGGGCTTGGAGACTCCAAGTACCCCCCACTCCAAGTACCAAATACTCGGCCTTTTTCTAGTTGGTATGTCTTTGAAAAACCCGGTTTTCGAGGGCAAATGCCTCCTTTTTGTGTAGAGGGTCGACATCATACCCTTGAGAAAGTTACCCCCTGCTCCAAATACCCTCTTTTTCTTGGGTAGACATGTCGACCCTGCACTAAAAAAGGAGGTATTTACCATGAAAAACCAGGTTTCCAAAAAATAGTTCTAGGGCAAGTTGGTATTTGGAGTAGGGGGTAGTATTGGGTGTGGGGGGGGGAGCATGGGAAAAGTTGAGATCAAGAAAGTGCTTGCTCTCGGACGGCCGTCCGCTTCCGCTTTCGTGTAAAAGCGTCCAGAGCTCGCTCCAAAGGTTTGCGCGTTCAAGCGGTAAGGACATGAGGATTTCAAGCCCCCAGCCCGAGGGAAAGCCAACAAGTGGGCGTGGCTCAAAACTAAACAGGAGGGGTTACGCAGGTTTTGGTCTCCATTTGAGGGAAAGCCAACCATTCAGTACTCAGTAAAGGCGATTGAGTTCTTGCCGAGTAAGGCGATTGAGTTCTTTCGATTTCAACCACCCTTTGACTCCAAGAGTGAGGATCACTTCAAATTACAAGGCCTTATGCCTGATTTTAAGGCCTTATGCCTGATTTTGTCCGACTTAGGCCGACGTTGAACCGCGTTATGCCGCTTTGGGGCAGCCGAGTTCTCCAAATGCATTTGTTTTGCTCCTCCTTTTTTTTGTGGCGCACAGACGGGTGAGTGTGATGTGTGCCTGGACCCTCAAAATTCCCTCAAAAATGGGTTATGGCCCCACAATTATGGGGGTGAAATCCGTTTTTTAAGTTGGTAGTTGAGGGTCCAGGTGTATGTGTGTTTGTGTGGTGTGATGTGTGGTGCGTGATTCGTGATGTGTGATGTGTGTGTGTGTGTGTGTGTGAGTGTGTGTGGGATGTGTCTCTGTGTCTCTCTGTGTCTCTCTGTGTCTCTCTGTGTCTTTCTGTGTCTCTCTGTGTTGTCGCTCTATGTCTCTCGGTGTGTCTCTGTGTCTCTCTGTGTCTCTCTGTGTCTTTCTGTGTCTCTCTGTGTTTTTCTGTGTCTCTCGGTGTGTCTCTGTGCCTCTCTGTGTCTCTGTGTGTCTCTCTATGTCTCTCTGTGTCTGTCTGTGTCTCTCTGTGTCTCTCTGTGTCTCTCTGTGTTTTTCTGTGTCTCTGGGTGTGTCTCGGTGCCTCTCTGTGTCTCTGTGTGTCTCTCTATGTCTCTCTGTGTCTGTCTGTGTCTCTCTGTGTCTCTCTGTGTCTCTCTGTGTCTTTCTGTGTCACTCTGTGTTTTTCTGTGTCTCTCGGTGTGTCTCTCTGTGTCTCTCTGTGTCTCTATGTGTCTCTCTGTGTCTCTCTGTGTCAGTCTGTGTCTCTCTGTGTCTCTCTGGTGTCTCTGTGTCTCTGTGTGTCTCTCTGTGTCTCTCTGCGTCTCTCTGTGTCTCTCTGTGTCTTTCTGTGTCTCTTTGTGTCTCTCTGTGTCTTTCTGTGTCTGTGTGTTTGTGTTTCCCTTCACGACTCAAGAACCCATCAAAACGAAGCCCATTCTTTCTCCGAGTCCTGTCGCAAGGAGGCCATTGTCGTCTGAGACGGGCCCAGGGATGACCACGGCTGAGCAGCCGCCGGGTGGCTGCAGTGCGTTTACGAGATTTCAACATGGGTGTGTGTGGCTGTGTTTATTTGTTTTGCGGGTAGATGGTTTACCTTGGTTGAAATGGAAACCCACAGGAACAGCATTTCAACCTACTTTGACACATGCCCAGATCAGTCGGAGGTCTTTTGGTGTCACACTGGTGGACGGTGGCATCAAGCTGCCAGTCTTCCAGTCGTGAGGGTGTGATTGGCGTGGCAGATCGTCAATCCGAGAAGAGACCTTGCCGGTTGGGTTCGGTCAAAAAGATGCCGCGCGCACACTCAGGATTCCTGCAAATTCGCGGAGAGACAGCTACCTCCGAGCAAAGGATCACTTACTCCCATGTGGCTGTGGCTCAAACAAGCGGTACCAAACTGGCACCTTGGCACAAACCAAAGACTAAAACCCGCGCAGGGCCCCACCCTCTCTATTTCCCGGGTTAACCGGCGAGAGAGGGTTAGGTGAGGGAGAGAGGGTTGGGAATGGAGTGTGAGATGGTGCATGAGTGAGTGAACGGATGGAGAGTGAATGAGATCCTATTTCCTCCATCCCATCACTTCTACATGCTATATCTCTCACACACATTCACTCTATTCCTTCCTCGCCTTTTTTCTAGGGGTTAATGATGGGCGAGGAATAGTAAGGAATAGATGGAGGGTTGGGTCTTTCTATGTGTGACCCAACATGAAGAACATGATCCAAGAGCCGAGAATTGGAGGTGAAGGGATCCCACATCCATCTACAAATTTCTTTAGGATGTGGAACAAGAATGAGAGAGATGAAAGGGAGGGATTTCCTGTAGACCAACCTTCATCTCCCATTATTATTTTTCCTTTTGGCCATCTTTTCCTATCACCCAACCTTTCCTCTTCCCTACAGCCTAACCTAGAGATTCCTAAAGTGGCTGTGTGTAGGTTGGGTAAGTGATAGGAAAGGAATGAATCCTTAACCGCTATCACCGCCTCCAGGCTGTTACATTCCTATCTTCATCTTGGGATTTCTACATCTCTTTTCTGTTTCTAATTAAATACTATTTTTATATGAGTTCATCTTTATTAGAATTACATTATGTTGCAAATGAATGAGTCTTCAGGAACAGCTAATATTGGCGAAGCAATGGAAAGAGACAGATATTTTGTAGGTTAAAAGACTTCTCCATTATATCTCTGTCTCTTTTATCATTCTTTACAAATATTTCCATTCCTTACAATTCTTTGCTTTTATTGAAGTTATTATCTGTCTTTTCTTTTACATCTTTATCTTATTATATTTCTATATTGTTTGTCTTTCTTCTCGGCAATTCTTCACTTTGGGAATTACAATAAAGACAAACAGCGAGAGAAGGGAGCGGTTGGGATCAGAGATTACATGTAGATAAAGATGCCATTAGATTGCTTCCCTGGCGGTCATTGACTCTTTAACTTTGAGCCACACCCATGTGCGAGACAGCATTTTCCCCTGTTGATCCCTTTTGCGAGACACCTTTCTAGAAGCCCTTCCTGAGGGGGTCTTTTAGGTGGCCTTCACCCCTCCACAAATCTCTCGGTAGACAGCTGAGAACTGGGCAAAGAAATTGAGCTGCAGAAGAGGGCAAATATATTCTGTCCATCTGCGTTCGCAAGTAGAAAGAACTAGCAGCTTAAAAAAGGGGTATTGCAACCCAAAGTCCTGGGTGGTGATTCCCATGTTTGTTTTCCCTTTGATGGTCTTAGAGGGGATCGATTGCACTACTGGATGTTTTTTCCTAGAATCAGAATTCACCCATACACCTTCTGGGGCGTGTGTCAAAATGGGCGGGTAAACCGCCATGGGTTGGTTCCTTTTGGTTCCCTTCAACAGGCTCTAAAACGGGGTACCCAAACAACACACACACACACACCCTACTCCAAATACCAACTTTTGTTTCGGGCATTTTTTGGAAAACCCGGTTTTTCAAGGTAAATACAAATCCCTTTTTAGAAGAGGATCGAGATGATACCAAAAAAGAAGGCCGGGTATTTGGAGTCGGGGGTATACTGAACCGAAGTCGTGGGCATCCTATGTACCTTGACCCTCAAAAAATTCCGACTAGCCCCAAAATGTAATTATGGGGTGGGTGAATTCCTCTTTTTTAAGGGTTGTTCCTTTTTTTTTCCAAACAGTGTGTCCACTGAGGGGTTCTTACGGTAAGAGTAAAGGCCCGGTGCTAAATCGAGGTGCCCGGCCTGGCCGCGCCCATTTTGCGTTGTATTTACCGCAAAATCGTGAGGTTGTAGGATGTCGAAGTGCGTTTCGGCTGCGCAGGCTCGCACAAAATGAGGCCCCCGAGTTTGTCCGGGAGCATTTTGCGTGGTATTTACCGTCCATCGAGATTTTCATGATGTCGAAGTGCGTTTCGACTGCGCAGGCTCGCACAAAATGAGGCCTGCGAGTTTGTCCGGGAGCATGTTGCGTGTTATTTACAGCAAATCGTGATGTTGTAGGATGTCGAAGTGCGTTTCGACTGCGCAGGCTCGCGCAAAATCAGTCCCGCGAGCGCGGCCGGGAGCATGTTGCGTGGTATTTACTGCAACATTGTGCTGTTGTATGAAGGCGAAGTGCGTTTCGACTGCGCAGGTTCGCAGAAAATGAGGCCCGCGAGTCTGGCCAAATCATGATGTTGTATGATGCCGAAGTGCGTTTCGGCAACACCGCGCAGTTCGTGTAAACTTAGTGCTGGGCAAATATGCTCTTTGCTGGTGGGTGGGAGAGTTTGCTGCGGGACATAGGTACAGAAACTAACCGTGACGCTAAAAAATTCCCAAGTCGCCTGCGTTGCGACTTGTTGTTGCGACTGGCTCTCGTGACTCTAGGGCCGTTGGCAGTGCGTCGCGTGCCTCAGTCGGCTGATTCCGCGGCATGGAAACCTCCAAGTCCATGTTTCACGCATAAAGATGCCGGAAACCACCCACTCCATGCCGTTGTCCGTACACAAGCGCCCGCAGGATGCCCATGTCTTTCGCGCCGGGTCAGCTTGATTGTTTACGCCCGTCACTGTTTGGGGTCTCTTGCCGGGATATTTTTCGTTTTTTTTGGAGTTGGTAGTTTGAGGGAGGTATGTTTTTACCTCATCCTGTGTTTTTCATGGTAAGTACCGGTCCCTTTTTTACTAAAGGGTCGACAAATCATACCCTAGAAAAAGGGCCGGGTAGTTGGTGTAGGGGGCTGCCCGGTGAAGCCGAATGTGTTGGGCGAATTCCAATATTTTGGGAGTCGAGCAAGAGCTGTCGCCCCTACGAGCATACCGCCTGCTCCAAATACCAACTCTTGTTTTAGTGATCAGTTTTCCAGGGTAAGCACCTGCCTCCTTTCTTGGTAGAGGATCGACGTCCAGGAATCGACATCATACTCTAAAGAAAGAGAATTTTGGGTGTAAGGAGTATACGAATTGTAATCCCGTGGCTGATTTCGTAAGTTGGTCACCAAAAAGGCCCACCCCGTTACACCCAAAAGAAACGTCATATGAGCGGCGTCCAAAACCTCCGTGTACATGTTTAGTAAGAGTCATGTCACATCGACCAGCGCGTAAGGAAAAAAAACGCGCGCGTAAGGTGGCTTAAGCTGGTGGCGTACACAAATTCTCCAAGTGTGTCGCGTAAGCACAAGTCCACACGCGTAAGGTGGCGTAAGCGTGCGGAGTAAGCAGAATGGTACGACATAGCAAATCATGACATGTTTAGGACATGGCTCATATGGGTTTCCTGGCTCAACAAAAACAGACACTGTCCAAACCACCTCGCAATTGGTTCTGCTTTGTTTCCTTTGTTTTTGTTTGGGGTGACACCTTGTCAGGGCCTAGCGATGCCATGTTCTTCGGGCTACAGACTCTCTGGTTCTGTTTGGTTTCTACCCGGAGTCTGCATGACCTTTTTAAAATGCATACATGACCTCATTATTTTGGGGAAGGACCTTCCATTTTTTGAGGGTCCTTACAAAAACTCCAGGTACAGGACGCTCCAGTGGGGGCCCCTTCTCAGGGCGTCGGGTGGGTCACCGATGCATCGCTGCCCGGCCGAGCTTCGAAGCGACGCGACAGGAGGAGTCCAACTCGGAGCCCAGCGGCGACCCTCAGTTGCTCAGCCACCAGGCCGAGCCGAGCGAATTCAGCGAGCGGTCGAGTCGGGCGTCGAGTCGAGTGTCGAGTCGACTCAGAGTCTTTGTCAGAAAAAGCACACATGTACCAAAAAAAGAAACGCGGAGAAACGGCTTCCCCCGAGTCTTCGTGCGCAAAAAGCAAAAGAACAACAGGAGAAATCGCACTGGATGGTTGCGACATCCGCGTTCCTCGCAGCACCGTTCAGGAACCCCGGCATGATGATTCCCCGGTAAATACCAACTAACAATGGTTTCCTATGGTGTCAAAGTGGTGCAGGATGTAGCCCATCCACAGTAGGTGTCCTTTTGATCGGTTTGTTTGGTTAAAAATGGATTCGGGTTCCACTGGTTTAGAAATTGGTTCCCCCTACTCCAAAGACCCACGTTTTTTTAAGATATGTTTTTTGTAAAACCTGGGTTTCCATGTTAAATACCTCCTTTTCTAGTAGAGGGTCGACATCATACCCTAGAAAAAGAGGGTATTCGGAGTGGAGGTTTTGATGCCATGTCCATTTACCAGGGACACCCATCCATTTTTCCCCAAAGTTCAGCTATGCGGACAGCCGGAACTGGAAAGGGTCGATGAAAACCAATGTTGATTCACTCGTTTTGCAGTGTTGTGCCCCTTACACCAATTACTTTTCTTCTTCCTTTAGTTGTCATGTTTTGTCGACCCACTAAGAAAGGGAAGGAGGTCTTTTCTCTGGAAAACAGATGTCTCGGTTTTCCGAACAAAGTACCCAAAGAGTTGGTATTTGGAGGTGAATCGGGGGGTAGCTTCTATCCCACCTCCAAATACCCACTTTTTCTAGGGTATCTTGTGAAAAACCTGGGTTTCCATA